TAGAGTCCAACCCTAGTACATGACATTGTATTCTAGAGCTCGGCTCTACCACATCACCATACAATTCATATACCTCGGGTCAATTTCCTTACCTTGCGTTCTAGAGCTCGGCTCTATCACATCACCACGCAAGTCCTAGAGCTCGGCTCTAGCTATACAATACATAGACTCCAAGTCTACACCTTACATGCATTCTAGAGCTCGGCTCTATCACATCACCATGCATTAAGGTCCAATTCTCAAGCAACCCTATGCCTAGAATTGACATATCATCAAACTACCATGGGTCATTTTTAAAGACTTCCCATAACTTAACCTTAGTTCCATACTAGGTTATTATATACACTTGAACTATATTCAAGTATCTTTCATACAATCCAATCCCTAGGATCAATTTAATTCACAAGTTCCAATAATCACTAACTAGTATTCCAATACTATTAAGATTATTGTTATCATACCATTGTCCTCATTATTTGTAGTTCTCTACATATTTATAATTATGTAGCAGCAACTTAAGCATTCAATTTCAATACACAAATATTCATTTATGTATCCACATAATTCATACATGAGTAAAATACCCATTTTCACAAAATGGTTCTTTTATACTCATTTAATCTCATATTATTCATACCTTCTCAAATCATTTCAAATTTCATTCTTTGGCAACTATATCAATATTTCATCAATATATAATCATCATAATCCATGATAAATCATGATTTAAGCATTTAGGTAATCTCATGCTTAACCTACAAGTTGTAAGCAATTAGATGTCAATCCTCACCTCAATTGAGCTTTAAACTTTCCCTTCTTGGTCCAATGGTCAAAGCTTCGGTCAAGGTGGATTTGGAACTGATTCCTTGCTCAAATATGAGTGTTAAACAGCCTCTTCAAGGTGCTAGCTCAACCCCTAAACGTTGGTACGAAAACAGCCCCTAGAATGGGTGTTTTCCGGCTAACTCGTTTCCTAGTTTTCCAAGATTTGTTCTAGGTTAGTATCTAACCTTTACATCAATAAAATAACTTAATAGGGACATATTATAAACTTGGAGTAGTGTATAATAGTTCCACCAATCGTTCATATCATTTGGAAAATGAATGGAAAGGTTTTGGGATTAACAACTCACTTAGAAGAGTAAATCCGTTCCTGCGAGGTCGCGTTCTGTTCGGACGATTTGGAAGCCTTCCTCTACTCCGATTGATGCAAACCAGACCTTCACGGATTCCTCGTCTTGAGAGCTTTCTTTTGGTATCTCACACGCCTTAATTGGATTGGTAAAACTCGAGATATAGACCAAACAGTTTCAGCACTCTCACAGCTCGAGTTCACAGACCTCTGCTCGTTCCAGATCGATTTTTGGATGATTTCTCTCTCCTCTCGAACTGTGGCCACTCAAATATGAAAATAGACTTCAAAAGCTATCCAAAGACACCTTATACACCCCATTTGGACGAGTACAACTCTCAAAATGAAGGGAGACAAAACAGCACACCTGTTTGTGCGAAAACAGTGGTGGTGGCCCCAAAATTTGATTCCAATTGTGTCATGGGCAGTGCTTCTCCATGTGGTGCGGCCAAGGTGAGTCTTCTCACATATTTTCCTTGTCTTGCAGGTACTAATATCATGTGGAGTGGTTCCCCATTGATCCCAATTAATTTGGGATCCAAAATATCTATCAATACACCCAAAAATGGAAGAATGGGTCCTATTGTTTTATCTTTTGTCAAAGATGTCTTTTTGTACTCATCCTAATTTATTTAGAACAAGTCAACTTCCTAAATCACATTATTGACCTCCAATATGTGTAGGCTCATCCCAATAATTTACTTGATGAATATTACGAAAGAATACGGGTTTGAACAATACAAATATTCAATCATGTGCTACGTAAAATATTAATCGTTTTTCCATTGTTTTCAAATCGGAAATTCAATACATCACTTTGAATTTAAGAATGAAATTTTCAAGGACGTTCGGGTGCGGTGTCACATGAACATACAACTTTTGTTTAGAGTTCCCACAAACAGCATCGATGTTGGTTTCAGGGGATGAACCCATCACAAAACCTATTTTATATTCCCCCCCGTCCCGCTATGATTGTCTCATTTTACCATTTCGGTCCGTCCCACTAAGATTGTCTCATACCTTATTTGGTAAAGTTTGTGTGGTTATAAATCATTCCTACTTTATTCTTACTTTATCAATTTAATATCAACCACATAAACACACTTTTATTAATAACTGTGCCACCTTCTCTTGTCTTAAACTTAGGGGGACGGAGGTAGTACTACATAATTATAAAAGTATATGAAAAGTGACAATAGTACAAGAGATTTAGAAGTTTTTTATGAATTAATCTCACTTTTGGTCTTATGAATCTTATGTCAATTCCACATTTAGTCTACATCTTTCATTTGTCTACTTTTGATACTTGACTAGTGAAAGTGGACAAAATGATAACTTAGCGTCAAAAGTGTATAAAATGAAATATATGGAGTAAGAGTGTAAAAGTGTCAATGTTTCCGATGATTAAAATCGCCGGAAAAGGATTGCAAATGATCAAGGTTCCAGGGACTGGCCAAATGTTCCAACAAATGAGATTCAATGTTTCTCTTAGAGTATGAGGACCGTAACAATTACGTAGTACTCCCTCCAGTTCTAAATAAACTTCACACTTTCCTTTTCGAGACGGTCCAAAATAAACTTCACACTTCCTTATTTCCTTATTTGGCAAAGAAATCTACATCAAAACAGTGTTAAACAGTGCTAAACAGTGTCTCAACAGTGCCAAACAGTGTCTCAACAGTGTCTCAACAGTGCCAAACAGTGTCTCAACAGTGCCAAACAGTGCCAAACAGTGTCTCAACAGTGTACTCTACAGTAAAGTCAACTTTATTTCCTTAATAACTGTGAAGTCAAACACTGATGTTTAAAAAGAACCGGAGGGAGTATATAACTATATATATTTAGACATAAATGAAGTAATAATTACGAAGTGTAATACTCCGTATAAGCTAATAAATGAATAACTAGGGATGACAATGGGGCGGGGTTCACTCCTCATCCCCGCCCCATGTCTAAAAAGTCCCCACACCCCCACTCCATCCCCAGGTACTCCCCGACCCGCCCCATCCCCACGTCACCCCATTGTCCCCCACGGGTGCCCCCATATAAATTTTATTTTGTATTATTTGCATATTTTTAAACTTATTTTATAGAAAAATATATATGTAGCACTAAAAGAGGTAAACTAGATAATATTGTGTTTGATAAAAGTTAATTCCGCCAATTTTTAATATGAGTAATTCTTTAATTTGAATAAGTTATGTGAAGATAATAAAAGTAAAAATGTAAGTAAACATATTATCAACTTTTATGTCTTTACAAATTTCTCATCAATTAAAATGCAATTAATTATTTATATTGTGTGTGTGTGTGTGTGTGTATATATATATATATATATATATATATATATATATATATATATATATATATAGAGATAAGAGATCACATACTAACCATGCTTAAAATACTAACTTACTAACTCAATAATATGCAACACATTGAACTTCAATATGCAGTACAAATAATGTAAAGATGCATACTGTGAATTTCAATATGCAATAAAAACAATATGCAAAACTTTGAACTTTAATATGCAGTACAAATAATATGCAACACTTTGAACTTCAATATGCAGTACAAATAATGTAAAGATGCACCGTTTTTGATAGTTTGTAGGTTAGCATGGGAGGAATGGTTAGTATGTGATCTCACCCCTATATATATATATATATGCATATGTGTGTGCTATTTTCTCACTTTCTCACTTTTAAAACACATCTAACATTTATGATAAGTATTTTCAGTCATTATGTACTCGTATTAATATTCTAATATAATAATATGCATTAGTTCATTAACCGTGACTAAACACATACATTTATATATACGTACATGTAATAAAGCGAAGTTATCTTCAAGAATTCATTTGAATGTCTTTCCGATTTAATTGTTGGCTGAAATTTGGTATGAGTAAACTAGATTTAATGAATAAGATTCTCAAAAAAATTCATCAACAAATTCCATCGAGAACTGCCCCAAATGGCAACGATCGGACAGAGCCTCCTATATAAGAGCTTATTTGACTTTTTTATGTAAGTTCGATGGTTTATTTGAAACTTTTCCCAAATATCAATCACTCATTTAATAAAGCGATTACCCGCAGTTACCCACGGTTATAGTCGTTACCCGTTGAAGTGGTTATGATTTGGGTAAAAATTACTCATTAGTTAATGGGACGGTTATGGGGCGCGGGAATTACCAAACGGGCGGGTACAATTACATGTAAAGGATTTGGACGCGAGTACAATTATCATCCCTACCTATAGAATAGAAGACAAAACTCACAAAAGCAAAGGATTTGGACGCGAGTTATCCGACAAAAAACATCGAGAACTTACTCTGAAAGGTAAAGAAAGAAGCATTTGCACCACTTGAGCTACTACAACTTTTAAATGATGGGGCTACAACATGAAGACATTTTAATTCTCCCTTTCCTATAAGCATCCGGATTCCCACCTCGCTTGAACCCATTGCTTTCAACGGACCTTCAAAATGTGGTGTTGTGGGGACATAATTCCGTTTATAATAGACCCGGTGAGTGATGCAAGTTTATTTTTTCCGTGATCCCTGCACAGTGTGCGCGAAAATCTCGGAGTTTGGGTTTCGGTCTGCTGCTAGCTGCTAAGCTGCTGCTCTTAGTCATCCTTGCTCCCTCCTGTTCTCAAGAATTTATCCAAGATTTCAACATAATTCATTTTACAGTATGCATAGCAAGAGAAAGTGGGAGACCCACCGTTTGTAGTTTTGGGGGTTTATGTATAGGCGAAAAAGATTCAATCTTTTCGGATTTTTCTTCTGTGGGTAATGTTACTAGGACAGCTATGAGTTGTCCGGAGCTTTTGGGAGGAAAATTTGGATGGTCTAAGCTGCAGAGTTGACTTTGGGGTGGGTTTGATTCTTCTCTGAAGGTACGATCATTGTTTTACTTTCGTTCTTTTCTTGTGTTAAATTCCTACCCAATTGCCCCTAATCAATTTTTGCGTTTCCTGTGTTGGTTGTGCTTGTATGCTGAGTTTTCTTTTGGGTAGTGAAAATGCTCTTCTTGATCTATCTAATTTGGTTTTGCAAATCACACAGAAGGTTTCTCTCGTGGGTACAAACTCTTAGCTACTTTAACTTTACATATTGATAAAATCGACAATTTGGTAGTGGCGTCACCTGTCACATGAATGTTCATCTGCTTGCATTTTTTATCTTCGAATGCTTTAATCCAACTTTTTCATGCTCTCTTCGCCCAAAATAGAATATCTTTATGCTGCAAATGAGGGATGAGTAAAAGTAAGTCTTGATAAAGTGCTAAAGCCTTTTCCTTTTATTGAGAATCATAGTTTCCCCACTTCGTGAATTCACCCATGTATTTTGGTATATTTGTATGTATATGTATATCAATCCTAATCAAGAATATATCTTGTTTGTCCCTTGGGAAAATGGAATATGTTGTTACAAGACAGAACAGGTCTAAGAGCCTGCTTAATTTTCTTCTTTAAATTCGTTCAGTTAATTTGGTGCCATTTTGGGTGTGCTTTCTAATTTATAGTATCTATTCTAGTTAAATACCAACATCCTTGACTGGGATGAGGTTCGACTTTGTGGCCTTCTCTTTGAGAGTGTCATTGGGATTCCGTCGAACCACAAGGAGCTTGGCATTTGGTGCTTTCTTTTAATATTCTTGATCCTTAGGAAATGCTCAAATTGCTTATGGTAAAACTATGGCATTCACAGAGCCCATTTTGTAAGGGCTGTATGTCTGAATTGAATGAATTTTCTGAAAGGAAAGTGTTTACTAATATCCATGTCAGCGAAATAAGTAAGTCAGGACCTACTTGTTTTGTTTATTCTTCTGATAAGAAATGGAGCATTAATCTTCTTTTCTTTATCTCCTGAGAATATTCATGTGTTGAACTTAAACAATTAAAGCAGGCACCTTTCTTGCAGCAAATGGAGAACTTGTGACCAAGAATGGATCCCAAGTCTTTCATCAGGTTATCAATAGGATCGTTGGGATTGAGGATCCCCCAACCGGCCTTAAGCAGTCCAATATCTTCTTGTTCATGTGAGATCCGTCTTCGAGGTTTTCCCGTTCAGACAACGTCTGTTCCCTTTTTACCCTCACCTGAAGCTGCCCCAGACTCTAACAGTACAGCCTCCAGCTTCTATCTCGAGGACTCGGATGTAAAGTCACTACTCCAGCCCGGCTGCTTTCATACCAACCACACCTGCCTGGAGATAGTTGTTTTCACTGGGCAGAAAGGTACCCATTGTGGGGTTTCTATCAAGAGACACCAGATTGGTACATTTAGGTTGAAAGTGAGTCCTGAGTGGGGTAAAGGAAAACCAGCTGTTCTTTTCAATGGTTGGATTGGGATTGGGAAGAGCAAGCAGGGTGGCGGGAACACGGGAGTGGAGCTTCATTTAAAGGTGAAGTTGGATCCCGACCCAAGATATGTTTTCCAGTTTGAAGAGAAGACTAAATTGAGCCCTCAGATAGTTCAGCTTCAAGGAACCATCAAACAGCCTATTTTCAGTTGCAAGTTCAGTCAAGATCGGTAATTAGTTGCATCTTTTTTTGCCTTTTGTTATTATTAGACACTTTTTTACACAAAGCGGGTCCTCCTGTGCGGCAGGTTGCGTGACTAATCTAAGTCACAGATGAGTGTGTCCTGCATTTCTAGCGGGGAGGGAATCTAGTTGTTTGGCTTTCAGCGTGTAATACTGAAGTTTGATGATGATGATGATGATGATGATGATTATGCATATTAACAGTGTTCTAGTTTACCATTTTACCTTCAATATTTTTCAAATCTGTAGCTATGTTTAATACATAATCACATTTGGTTGTTCCTATGGTAAAAATTCTCGTCTAAGTGTCGAGCCTCATCTAAGTGTCGACTTATCCTCGCATAGGTACAAGGTTGTTCTTGACTGACTATTTCTTCCCCTGCTTAGGGCGCTTTAATTAGACCTAGATCTTTCATGTAATCATTTGATAAAATGATATGTCATCTCACATTGGCCAATTAGAAATATTCGGAACTCATTTGGTAATGGCTGAATCTGCTGAAATCGGTACAATTCTAGCTGAAACAGCTAAATATGCTGAATTGTGCAAAAATGATATTTAAAGTATTTTTTATTAATAAAATAATGGAAAACACATATGAAAAAAATAGTATAAACAGTTTTTTATATAAGGTCTTGGATGTCTTAATAGATCACAGAACCAATTAAGCTCCAAAGAGATTATAGTCCATGGCTTAATGTGCAGACCCTATCTTATTCTTGACAGTTGGCACACCCAATGCACAGCATTCCTTAATGTAAATGCTCAAAGTTGATTTGAAATGACAGGGTCCTGCAGGTGGATCCCCTGAGCAACTTTTCGTCAGCTGGTTTCGTCGATAGCTCCTACCTTGAAACAGAAAGAAGGGAGAGGAAAGGGTGGAAGGTAACCATACACGACCTCTCTGGATCAGCTGTTGCTGCAGCCTTCATAACCACGCCATTCGTGCCGTCAGCGGGTCGTGATTGGGTGGACCGGTCCAACCCAGGAGCTTGGTTGATCGTCCGGCCCGATCCGTTTACGCCCGACAGCTGGCAACCATGGGGGAAACTGGAAGCATGGCGGGAACGCGGCGGAATAAAAGATTCTGTCTGCTGCCGCTTCCGCCTTCTGGCTGAGGAAGGTGGCGAGGATCTTATCATGTCAGAGATACTCATCGGTGCCGAGAAGGGCGGGGAGTTTTACATAGACACTGAGAAACGGGTGGTGGGTCCGGTGCCGAGCCCAAGAAGTAGTGGTGATGACTTGTTGTCGATGTTGGGCCCCGTTTTAGGCGGGGGGTTCGTAATGAGGTGTAGGGTGCAAAGCAAGCTGGTAGTGCAACTGGCGATGAGACACGTGACTTGCGTGGAGGATGCCGCCATTTTTATGGCACTTGCAGCTGCTGTTGATCTTAGTGGTGAGGCGTGCAGGCCATTTCGCAGAAGGCTCAGGAGAGGCACCAGTCGCCATTCGTGGTGATATCCCAGTGGTTATACACGCACAATACTCCCTCAGTCCCTTGAAGCATGAACGGTTCTGGCAAGTTGTGTTTGTAACTTTTGTACACTTTTGGTACAAAAGTGCTTGATATAATTCGTGTTATATTTCTACCTATGTCATATTTTTACGTAAATTCCATTAAAAAGATGTAAATATGTATCTGCAATATGTAAGAGATTTTAATATAAATTATTAATATTTAATGTAAATGCGATACATTATAATGTAAATGATATTATGAATTATGAATATTTTAAAAACACGTGATTAACTTGTAAATGTAATACTCCGTAGTATTTATTATTGATATAAAAGCTAATGTTCTATGCGAATGACTTTATACCAAATGTAAACTACATCTGTTAATATATAGGTCTCATTGTGTAAAATGTAAATTGCATGTGTCAAATAAATAATAAGAAATTAATATAAATATCCCGAAATTTTGAAAAGGTGTGAGATAAATACCCCAAATATGCATATGTAATATATATACTCCCAACTTTAAATAAAAGTTATTTCTTCACCATTATTATGTTTTTTATCAATATAAATTTGTTGCAACAAGTTCACTAATTAAAGTGCTCTAGTCTAGTACAATCTAATAATAATTTCATCCTCCTAAGTGCTTTCTGTATTTTAAATTATATACTTAACATCACAAAATTATATTAGTGAAAAAACATATTATTATGGTAATATGGTACTAAAATAACTTTTTATATAAAGATTGAAATATGCGTAGTATATATTACATGCACAAGTTTGGAGTACTTACTTCACACTCCTTCAAAATTTGGGATATTTAAATTATTTCTCAATATTATAATTAGTACTACGTACTATGTATGTTTTCTATGTAATTATAAATTATAATGAACTTTGCTGAATTTCAAACCTGAATCACGTTGACTAAAAAATACTCCGTATAAGGTAAAGCTAAAAAAAAGTTACATACTTTCAAATATAAATGCAAGTTTTTGTTTTAGATTTAAAATAAAACTTAAGTTGGATTATAAGCATTTTATGAAGAAGATAAATTGAAGAAAATTAAAGAGAGAGAGGAAGAGATCCCCAAACACAATCGCAAAAGAAGAAGCTGCTAGAGAGATGCAAACCTAGTTTTTTAATAAACAAAACGATGTTATAATAGAATCGATGTACCATGCGCACGATATAAGATCTCACTTTATAATTTGTGGTGAGACTAATATTCAGGTCCGGCCAGGCCGGACCACTCCCCCTGTCCGGCCTCCTCCATTTGGGGGTCTTCCCGGTGGTATTTTTTGGTCAATTTTTTTGTGTAAATTCCTCATCAAGTCTAGTTCATCCATACCAAATTTCAGCCAAAAATTCAATCGGGAAGGTTGTCAAATGATTTTTGCAAGTTAAGGAATGAAATATCGTTTCTACAATTTGTGGTAAATGAGATGGTAGATTGGTAGAACTAAAAAGGTGCCAAGCTAAAAATAAGAGGACTAAAACACCCTGGAATTAATATGAAAAATAAAACCCTAATTCTATCCCCTACAATCAGTGTCTTTTACGCAGCCCATCTCGCCGCCTACACTGACACGGCTAGTGAACTATAGTGAACTATAGTGATTTTCGCTTTAATGTACTCAGTACTTACTTACAATAGGGAACTACGGAGGGAGTATCCCATATTCCATTCCTCACAAAAACAAGAACTTAATATTTTAACAAGATCGTTATCTAAGAGCCCGTTTGGTAGCACCAAAATCGGCTGTTTTGGCTGATTCTGCTGAAATTTATGATATTCTGGCTGGAGTGGCTGTTTTGGCTGATTCTGCTGATTTAAGAAAAAAATATTTTAAAAATATATTTTATTAATAAATTATAGAAAAAGTTATATGTAAAAATAGCTAAAATGGTCCTCTACAGTAACTTCAGCCAATACAACCAGAAAAGTAAATCCAACCTTACTTTTTCGGCTTATTACACAATTCAGCGTGCGAAAGTAAAAGTTACGTGTTTGGTGAAAAAGCTGGCTGATAAGCCTGATAAGCCGAAAACAGAGTTCTCCAAACGGGCTCTAAATATCATTTTCTCAATTATGGTACAAACTCTCTTCTCCCAGAATGCCCCAACACATTTCTGCCAACTAAATATACAAGTGTTTTATGTTTATATATTACCATAATAATGCATATACATCTACCTGAAATACATGTGTGTGTGCCTGTGTGGCTATATTAAGTAATTTAGATGATCAATCATACATTCTTACATGCACAACATTAAGGTTCTATATATTCATTCAAACAGGACAGGAAACTACTACTAGTACTGCCTAGTATTTCCTTTCCCATTTCCCTTCTCGTCTCCCCACATCACGTTCTCTCCGTTCCATGATCGGTCTAGTAGACTTTCCACCCCCCCTTGATCCTCCTAGCTTTTGGGAAGGCCCAAAATTCATAGACCCCACGCCATCAATTGCTGATGCCATGTCAGCATCCCCGACACTTCCCGTGTCATCAAAGCTATCATCATAACTGTTTCCAACGTCATCCGGTCTGTCACGGGATTGAAGGATGGTTGGGGGTTGGGTTGAGATCTGTCTGGGTCCCGCTAACATAACTGTCGTCTCAGGCGGATTAGCAGCAGCTTTCAACAAGGTCCCTTCATTTACTGGTCTACCGTTTTCTCTTTCTCGATATCTTTCCCGGGGCCTACATGAGACTAATCAGTCAGGAGGATGTCACACACAGCATTTTGGTGTGTCAGAGTTTAGCATCAACATGTAGTACGTAGTAATTTAATACTCCCTTGGTCCTTGAAACATCTCAAATGAACTGAGGAGTTTGCTAGTTCAAACTTATTATAAGTACTTGTCTATTTCAATCTCAAACCAAACTAGACCAAATAACAGGTCTTAACTCCTAACATGCAATCCAAAAGTTCGCCACTATCAATTTAATTAAATGGTGGAGCCTTTATATGTGTATAAAGTTGAAAAAGACCAATAAGTTGAGCACTTGCCTACTATGTGAGGACGAAAATTCACGTCTTGATGGTCGCAGTCCAGATTCTACTTGCTCAAGTTCCCTCTGTAGATCTCTCTGTAGAACAGTAAAATATGACCGTAATCGCCATCAATGTTGGTTTTCAGGCAAGGTTGTTAAAATCGTTTTTTAAATCGAATCAAAAGAGATTTTTGAAAATTGAATCGTTAAATTTAATCGTAAACCATTACAATGTACATAACATATATTAGTATTTACATAATAAATATTAAATAAAGCGACAAGTTAATATTTATAAGACTAAGCCATCTAATGACTTCAAACTGTACATATGAGCTCATAAACAAAATTTATACTGTTTTTATAATGTAAATGGAGCGAATATAAACATCAAAACTAGTAAAATAATACAAGTATCCATTACTTTCACTAAAAATATTATTGATCATACTATTAATGGAATTATACATCAAAATATAATACTTCCTCCGTCCCATAACATTCTTCCCACTTGCCTTTTGGGATGTCCCAAAAAATTCTTCCCATTTCCCGTTTTGGAAGGTTTTTTATGGCTAACATTCATTTACCTTTTTCTTACTAAACCACAACCATGCATTTCCACTTTATTCCCACTTTCTTAAACTTTGATCCAAGTCAAACCGGGAAGAATGTTATGGGACGGGGGAGAAGTTAATGTTAATACTTTCAAACAATTTTTTCAAAAAACTCATCACTATGATTTTGTTACGCTTTTGCTACGATTTTAAAAGATTTTGTACGATTCTATTACGATTTTGTATGATTTTATGAGTTATGATCTTGCCTGCAATTCAAGTCAATTTATTTCTGTAGATTGTAGAATCGTAAAATCGTACAATTTTATGATTTAAATCGAGATTTTAACAACTTTGTTTTTAGGAAAACATTTCCCCAGTGGTCTCAAGTGTTTTTCACAAGAGAACACTAAAGATTTTCCTGTGTTTAGCACCCCAACATATTCACTTGAAGGGAAATATTCTCTTGAAGGAAAACATGATGTCATTTTCATGAAACAGCTAATGTATTCAATTTATGAGGATTACACATTATATTATAGAGACCTTATTTTCCCGGAAAAAGTTTTTGCCAAAATTATATTTTACTCTAATTTGGCTCACTAGAAATAAATGGGGTTTTACGGGGACATCCGATAAAAAGAAATAAATGGAGCCTTAATTGCAAATCCCGCCAAATGAACAAAAAAAAACTAAAGGGTGTACTTGTACCTGTGTTTGCCTTTCTTTCTCCAAGTCAAGGTTGTGCCTCAACTCCTTGGTTTTAGCACGTTCAAGTTCCAGCAACCGCTGTCTCTCAATCTCTCTTTCTACTTCTGTAGTCCTCTCTCTTGCACATTTACAAAACAACAAGACCACAACTTCAGGTTAACTTTCTCCATGACTATGTTTGAAACCCACAAAATGGTTAGGAAATGGGAAACTGCCAAGGAAAACAAAACTGAAGAGAACTATATAAGATTTTGCATATATTTAGATTCCATTGTCTTTATAAATAATATATATATATATATATATATATATATATAGAATAATGATCATATATATAGCCTTTTTTATTTAAGTGCTTCCAAGATCCCAAGCCAATGTTTTTGATGAAATTTTGTGATCATGTTTTCCATGAAGTGTAGATTATCTCTAGCAAATTTCAGATTAAAATTTAATCGGGAAGTCATTTAATAAATTATTGAAAATTGCACAATCTTATATACATATATATATAATGCAATTTTTTTGAAAAATTTCTTTAACTAACTCCTCGATTAAATTTTAATCTGAAATTTGGTGGAGATAATTAACACTTCATGGAGAACATGCTCACAAAATTCCATAAAAATATTCGACCTGGAAGCACCTCAAGTGAAAGAAGCCTACAAATTGTAAGTTTAGGCCTACCTTACATGAATATTTTCCTATATATAGAGTCCGTTTCTGATCAGGCGTGCATGACCGGAACCACCATGCAGACTTGCCTGTTTAAGGGCCTTCCTGGTGGAAGTTTTTGATGAAATTTTTTAGCATGTTCTCCATCAAGTCTAGTTTATGCACACCAAATTTCCGCTCAAAATTCAATCGGGAAGGCAGTTAAATAAATTCTTAAAACATACTGCGCATTTTGTACATATATAAAGTGCAGTATGTTTCAAGAATTTATTTAACTGCGTTCCCGATCGAATTTTGAGATGAAATTTGGTATACATAAACTAGACTTGATGAGGAAGATGCTCAAAAAATTTCATCAAAAAATTCCACCGGGAAGGCCCTCAAACTGGCAAGTCCGCACGGCAGCTCTGCTTAGGCGCGCCTGACCAGATCAGTTCTCTCTCTCTATATATATATAGAGAGAGAGAGAGAGATGATGCTGCCCAGCACTCCCCCGTCTGAACACCGTCCGACCACCGCCGTTTGGGGCGATTCCCGGTAGAATTTTTTGATGAAATTTTTTGAGCATGTTCCTCATCAAGTCTAGTTTATCCACAAAAAATTTCAGCTCAAAATTCGATCGGGAAGGCAGTCAAATCATTTTTTGAAGTTGACTACGTTTATATATATATATATATATATATATTGACGCAGAAACTTCAAAAAATGATTTGACTGCTTTCCCGATCGAATTTTGAGCTAAATTTTTTTGTGGGTAAACTAGAGTTGATGAGAAACATGCTCAAAAAATTTTATCAAAATTTCGACCAGGAACCGCCCCAAATGGCGGTGTTCGGACAGTGGAGTGCTGGACAGGATCACTTCTGTATGTATGTATGTATATAAATTGATCTGCAACTATTTTTCATACTTTATATTATTAAGAGTTTGAATATATATATATATTCACTGGGGTAAGAAGTTTTAATTGGGACACTAAAAGCTTCGAAAAAATAGAACAATAACTCGGCTTTTGAATCAATTTCTTGTTTTTGCTCAAGGGTTTTTAATTCTTGTTTTATATTCTTAATTTCTTGTTAAAGAGATTGGACCGTTACAGGGGTTTGAGAATTTGATTTTGTCCCTAGGATTTTTGTTAAATTGTAGGTAGTTTTGGAAGTAATTTTGACGAAAATATGGGAGGTTGAATCTGAGAAGGCTCAAAAGTGTTTAATAGTTTTCCTATTATTTCTTTTTGAAGATTTGAATCTTCGACGTGATTAATTATTTCGATAATTAATTCTTGATCTTTTGTTAAAACATTAATAGATTTTGAACAAGATTCTGAGTCGCTAGGAGACTCTGGTGCTCCGAATTCACCAAACTGTAGAGGTTTATTATTTTCTGATGTTCCTGTTTCAGAGTCTACTTCTGCTTCATCTCCTGATGTTTCTAAAAGGATTGCTTCAATTTTTTGGATTAGTTCGTCATCAACTTTTACAGAAACATGAAATGTGTCCTGCTTGGCCACATTTATAGCAAGTTAATTTGTTTTTAATTTTGGGGTTTGATTTTTTTCTCAAAAGGTTTTCTTTTTTCGTAATTTCTAAAAGTTTTAGATTTTTTATAAAATTCCTGTTTATTTGGTTTTCAGAAGAATTGTCAGTGGGGTTTTTTATAATCCTTGGACCAGGATCCACCACAATCTTTTGAGATATCTGTTGTAGGAAGTTCGAATTGTGCAAAAAGACCCTAGTTCTTGTCTAGTTCTTTTCATTTCCCATTTTAGGTGTTTTTGGAGTTTTAGGTCTTGCCATATTTTTAAACCTTCTTTTTGGGTAAAACTAACTAATTCATCATAAATCAATTGATTATATGGGATTTGATTAATTCCAAAAACTTCTTTGATTTTGTTCCTAACCTTTTCTCCTAAGAGGGTTGGCAGTCCTGCTAGAAATTTCTCCTTCCAACAAGGTTGATTTGAATCTTCACGAAGCATTACTCCGGTCAAAAAAGAGTTTTTTTGAAAATCAGAAAGTTTTTTACACCTAAGATTTGAGAGTAGTTCGGCATTTTTATCTTTTAGTTGGGATGGGTCACTTATGAAGTGTAGACTTATTTAGGTAGTTCATTTTACAATTTTCGACTTGTTTACAATCCTTATTGTTAGAACAACAAAAATCTGCAAGTACACAACATAATATTTTCCTCCACTCTAATATAACCAATAGAACAATAAACTCTTATAATAAATTAATTTGATAATCTATGTGCGTAACTTATTGATCCACCCCAAGAAGTTCATCCCCCAATTGTAACACACACACACACATACATATATATATAACATGAGTTCGAACAAATAGAACAAAAAAATAGTTTATACCAGTTTTTTATCTTTATCAACAAATTTTCTTTCCTGCCAAATCTACCCTATTTTCATTTTTCAGCTTCTAAATGGGCCTTAAGGGTAGGTAGAGATGAGTTAGGAATATAAGAGGGAAACCTATCCAGTTCTTGTAGAAGTTGTGCTTCATGTCTAGCTGCCTCTTCCAAGTATGATTGGCGGGCACGCCTAGCAAGTAACTTTCTTTGCCTACGTGCTTCAATTTGTTCTCTAAGTTGGGCCTTCTCCCTGATAGAGAGAGGTGATAGAAATAGACAAAGGGATAATTTAATAGGAGATCCAAAACAACAACAAAATGAATAAGTTATACTCTTCGTCATCCCCTTGAAAAGGACAAAAGTAACTTCTGCGTTCTCATACATGGATCTTATTCCATCCTTAATTTGCTGCAAACGGTCATCATCCTTCACATACTCTGTATAAGAAATATGAAAAAAGAAAATATGCATAAATGATAAAGGGATGCAATTTTATCTCTACTCCCCAAAAACCAAAGAACTTGCGTTTATCTTATTTATTTACACATGCATAAAATTAGACAGCATGCAATAAGAGAACTATTATTAAAAAAAAAGTTGTGTTGGTTTTCAATTAGAAATACTTTACAATCCAAAACTGAAAGCATTTTACCTGTACCCCACTCCAAACACACAATTTGAGCTTTTGTGAGTATTGGTAGAATAGCTTTTGCTTCTCCGAAGTCCTTTTAAAAATATGCCAAACAGACATTTGATATAGGTCTACCAAATTAGTGCTTCGATTTAAAACAGATTTGGAAGCCGAAGAATGAATAGAGGGTAGATTTGAATACCCTTATGGTCCGGAAAATGATTTAAAAATTTTTCACCAATTTGCTTCTAAAGATCCGGGTATCTTAAACCAGTGATTTGATGAGGCATACCAAATCAGTGAATTTACTAAATTTGTTGCTTTCAAGAGTTCCAAGACTTGTGCAATAAAGAGTTTAAGGTTAACTGGTTGTTTAATATTGTGCAATGTGTGCAGAATGAAGAAGTTCGGATGATTATTAGATTTTCTATGTATGCCTCTTAACTCTGTATGGATTTCGCTTAGGCTGTATAACAATAATTCTTGCCACTAAAAGCTTGTTTCTTTTTTATTTAATTTTTGAGTGGGTGAGTGGAGAGCTCGAAAGGCATCCTACATCCCTCATTTGACTTAAGGGGATGCAATTTTACATCCCTCATGTATGAGTCATATTTTATGTGTATCCTCAACTCTAAATAACTAATGCAATAGATCACCTGCTATGAAGGGAAGTTGATGTTGATCTCTGGAATCATTGGATAACTTCTGCAAAGCACATTCTTTTTGAAGAAGCTCCATTTCTATCTCAGCTTCTTCCAATTCCTGAGATTAAATTAGGTCACGTTTGCGAAAGAATATAAACTCCTTCCCAAAAGTTCACAAAAAACAAAAAACTTACCACATTCCTGCAGTCATGTTCCTTAGAGAAAAATTCTAAATATGATTGGACAGAAGTTAGATTGGTAATAACCTGCAAGAAGTTTGAAAAAAAAAAAGAAACGACTTAATAAAAAATGCTACCCCTGTCCCATTTTATGTGTCCTGTTTTAGTTTGGCACAATTATTAATAGTAGTTTAAAAAGTAAAGTTGTGGTTGCGAATTGCGATTTGAATATAATAAGGTGAAATGTTGTGAACCACATACTTCTTTCCAAAAAGGGAAATATGACACTTATTTTGGGACAACCCAAATAGGAAAGTAAGACAGGTAAAATGGGACGGAGGGAGTAACTAAATAAGAAAAATAAATAAAAATGAAAAGTAGCAAGCATATGCCAGGAGTGTAAAATAGAAGCAGCATATCACGGACATAGAAAATAAAGGATTTCAGTTAGTTCTTAATGAGTTCAGAATGGTAAAAGAACTGAATTCTGAAAATATGAGCTGTTAAGTTGGTGATACTAAATGGGTATCAATAAAAATATAGATTGATAGAGTACTAAATTAAGAGAAGAAAACAGAACAAAAATCAGAGCTAAAATAAGGCGTTTGAGGGAGTCTTTATTTTTTACCTGAAGAATTGTTTCGCGTGTACTTGCAAATGCAGGGTCCACTTGTTTCGGGGAACATGAAGAGATTGCTTCCTTCAAGACCTGTCACCCACAGCCAAAGAATGGTAAAAAAAGGTGGATTTCAAAATTTTCCAAGAAAAGTTCCATATTCCATACTCCCTCCATCCCAACTTAAGCTATTCACTTTCTTTCTTTTGGATGTCACAACTAAAGCTTCTCATTTCTATTTTAGGAAATAATTAGCACTTATAAATGAAAAAGTAATCATCTAATATTAAGTATAATACACCTATAAAATCACAGTTATCATCAATGACCTCATTATGTTATAAACCCATCAAAATTACTTCTGAAAATACACTCAAATGACCTTATTTGATTATTGTCTAACTAACCGTATCATTTTTCAATGAGAAGCTTAAGCCGTGATGGAGGTAGTAATATTTAGAGATATAAGAAGAAAAATAGAGACATAAATCTTCATAGGTGCATTACATGCATAATAGACATTTCCCTTACGAAAATATTATCACATTGCTCACCTGTTTGGCTGCATCCCCTTCTCCTCTCAGCCTATATAAAGCTTGGCACACCCTTTTCTCGGGGCCCATGGGGATTTTTTCTAGAAACATACCACTTGCAATGTATTAAGAGAAACGATGAAACAGTTCCAATGGCAATGTAACTCTTACAGTAGTGAAAAGAATGTAAAAAGAAAAATACCACTTCCAGCACATGCAAAGTTTTCAATGCCTCGCCACAGATTTTGAGGAATCAAAAGAATATCTTCAGCTGGGGAGTATAGGCAAACACAAGCAATAAGTGCAATAGAGAGTTGTGTTAATGAGCCTTCACACACAGGCTGACAAAGTTTCATCAAACACTGAAGGACACAATCAGCTGCAGCAAGGAAAGATTGCAATTTGGGCCTTTCAACAAATGGGACATAGTTTACAAGAAGTGCCGTTGCATTGATTCTCAACTGTAGTGATGCATCAGAAGAAGCCAGCAAAGCTACTTCATCCCAAGTTCTTGACACTAGAGCAGAACGTACATCAGGCTCTGATGGAAGTACTTCATTATCAATTAAAGTTGGCAATATGAAAACAGTTCTGCAACTTCCACCTTGGCTCACATGCTTTCCTAGTTGCTTAAGACCAATGAAGCGTTGTTCTGGCTCTGGATGGCAGAGAATTGAACATAAGAGATCAATCAGAGCTTCACTTTCTCGGATTCCTCTCGTGAAAAGTGAGGTCAGCCACTTATCTGTTTGTAGCCGCCAAGCAATTACCGGTGCATCTTGTGAAAATGTTTTTATTGCAGCACATATATTATCAACTGTGCTTTGTAAATCGAAGAACTGAGGAACGTGAAATAGACAGTCAAGGATCACTGATGCAACCCCCCAGCAACGGTTTTTCTGAAGCAATATAACCATTTCAGAAAGCGCTTCAAGACTGGCTTTCCAATTATCTCCACTAGAAGAGATAGACTCAGGCAGACTTTGCAGATCAGCTCCCCCAGAAACAGAAACTTTTTCAGCAACATAAGATAAGCATCTTAAATACATGAAACACTCTGCACAGATTAGTGTGAGATTCTTGGCCAGTTTAGGATGAATTATGTAGCATTGCTCGACAGTATGGATGAGCTTAGAGATAAGTGCGCCTAAATTCTCTGAGAACATATATATTTCATTAGTATTTAGGAGTCGTTTTTCACTCACACCCTTTTCATGTTCGCTACTTTGATTCACCTCAACTGAAATGTTGTAAACATCTTCAAGAAAACATGGAAACTCAGATCCATCACCGTTTCTCGCACCCATTTCGATGTTAGAAAATTCAGAGATCTTACATGGAATGACTCCTGAGAATTTTAAAAGGCTAACCATCAAAACCTTGCAACTTTGCATAAGAGCCTGATATGCACAAAGATAATCATGAAACAATGTTGTTTGCTCCAAAGAGGCAAAATCTGCAGATTTGAAACAAGCTTTTAACAGTTCTATTTTGCAACTGGAAGAAATGTCGGGAAAAACCGAAGCCAAAACAAAAACAGTCAATGCTCTGCAACGGCCTCCTGAATCACCTTTGTTTTCACTTTTGATGGTACTGAGAAGTTCACCTAAGCATAATGACTCAAAATTAAGGCACATAGCATCAGTACTCACTAAACTCTCCTCATCGGATGCCTTTTGCAAGGAATATGAGATGATCGGCTTGAGCAAAAGTAAAACAGAGTTTAGAAATGAAACATCACAATATGCAGAGCTGCACAAAGAAACCAGCACTTGCACAATTCTTGGTATCTCGGGTGCTATTGCCTCCATATGTTCAGCTACAATTGCTTCAAGAACATAAAGAACTATAGCTTTTGCGTTCTTTGCCACATACCCCTTCACAGAATCATTCTGAAGGGAACGCTGGTTCTTTGGGTAGCAAATGAAAGGCTCTGAACAAAACTCAGAGAACCAACAAATCAAATCTGGAACTGTTGATGAAGGGAAAGCTCTAAGTTGCAATGCAACAGCTTGCAGTATAGATTCCCCAAACGTTTCAAATTCGTTTTTCAAATTGGGAAAGAAATGACTAATATCAGGGTACATAATGCGGAAAGAACGTCGCTTACTGCAAGATTCTTCGCTTTTTTCGGCCTCGTCTTTATAATCAGATATATTATCAACTGCAGCAAGTTCATCTGCAAAAACAGAAAGCAAACATGCCAATTGCTCCATATCTGAAACGAGAAAGAGCCTATCCTTCCTATATCGTATAGCATTACGAGAGATTGCCATCCAACTAAGAAATCGGACTAATGGAGAGACAGAAGTTGAGAATGTGGGTATTTTATCAAGCCAGACTGAAGGAGGGATTAGATTTGCAAACTGAAGACCACTATTGAAATTGATACAAAGCTCCGATCTTTCAGCACAATCACTCGAAGCAATCACTAGTCTTTTAAGAAGCGTCCATAAACGTTGGCCTAGTTGTAGCTTCCACTCATCTAGCTTTGTATTTCCCTCTTTAAGTTGATAATAAAAAGATGTCAACTGAATGTTTAAATGCTCAGCAGACTTCAGTATAATCTCAATAATATCTGTCGGTGAACAGAATAATTTAGTTCCTGAATGCAGAAGGAACAAAAGCATTTGCAGGAGTACCTCATGCTTGAGGTAATTATCTCTTTGTAATTTTCCGACAACAAATTTGCAAAGAAGTGCTTGATTTTGTCGAAGTAAAGTAATGGCATCTTCTGCTTGAGGATCATTCTGAGACAACCTTAAGACTTCATTTTCTTCTTCTTCTTCATCACGGTTTTGCTGATACCTCCTGTCTAACTCAGCAGCTTGAAGCATAATTTCAAGAACAATTTTGTCCCTTTTTCTTTCAAGATTGATTAATGTTTTCAAGTCATTTTCGTTCTCTTCAAACTCTATGTTGAGATCAGCAAATCCGAAATTCCTGCTAGCCCTGTAACCTTTCCTTTGGCTGCTTCTAACCATTGGAATGTCCTTGAAGGACATCATGAAGAAGGGATTCACATGGCACTCAGCAGCTAAAAGAAGGGCATCTATAACAGCATCATGACTCTCGGGAATCATATTCTCATTCTGAGAATGTAAATCCAAAGCTAAACGCCTAAACTCAGAAGATCTCAGCTGGCAATCTCGATGGTTCATAAGTTGTAAACAATCAGCTCGCAAGTTATTATGATAATCAATAGTGTTGTTAGTACCAAAAAATGGACTAAGGAACTGGTAGCCTGGATCTTTCTCAATGAGGTTAACTTTGGGATCACTACGGCTTGAATCAGAGGACGCTTTTGGGGGACTATTGCCAGAAGCTGTGATGAGTGACATTTTGTTAATCTCAGGAGGACAAAAGAGAAAGCTCACTTCATCCGAAAGATCCATCTTCGAAGACATATCAAAAGCAGTCTTTCCATCTGTGCCATCTTGGGTCATAGGCATTGAAGCAACACTGCCATTGAGAATAGCACTAGAAGAATCCGGTGATATGGATGATGATTCTGAATCTGCCAAAAAGTGGCGATGGTTGACACCTGAAGGTAACTGAATGTGAGGCTCCAAAACTGAGAGTAGGACACTGAAAAAATACATCGGCTCAGAATGAGCATAAATGAACATCAGAACATTTATATGCTGGAGTTAGAAGGAAAATGTATTCATATAATCTTTATACATCCATCATTAATTAACATCAGAACATCCACCTGGTAATGTTCATTTCAATGGGGAGGGGGTCATGGATACACTTGCCCGTCTGAACAACAAACACATGATCTTAATGAAATAATCAACCGCCAATAAAAAGGTTCAACATTAGTAATACTTGACAAAGGGTGTTATGCAGTTTTTCCATTACCTAGGAGAAACCGATCCCCGTCGCCACTCAGCTTCTAAGGACGGAAGTAAAGTAGGCTTTCTTACAGCTGTACGAATGACATTCAGTGCAAGAGCACAGTCGTGCTCTTGCTTTTCAAGAAAAATAGATGGTACATTCCCAAATGTAATTACACTCTGTAGTGGGGTAATGGCTGGATCCAGATAAGGGTCAAGCATCTCAATCAAAAACAGAACTCGGTGCTTCACATCCTTATAGAAAAACAAAAATAAAAAACAAGTGGGAGTGTCAGGACTCAGAAGCTAGTAACTTCAATTGAGTTTCAAGTGTGTGTGTCAATGCATGTGTAAGTGTGTCTGTATACTATCGATTTCATTTAATAGCTTGCCTTAAGTTTTGACAAAACTTCATCCATATGCCCAGATAGAGCCAAAACAATGTATTTGAGGGCTGCACGTGCTTGAGCAAATGAATGGTGGACACCCTGATGTAGTCACCATCAACTAAAATTAATTAATTTCTTCTTACCGGATAAAAAATGAGTACCCATGACTATGTGAGTTACATCATAATCAAGTTCATGCGCAAAATACTGGGATCATTAACAAGTGGACCAAGATATAGAAGCTACACATACCTGGATTACAGCTAAAAGGTCCTCCAAAAGCTCAATAGTTAAGTCCACCTGACCAAAAGGCAGACCAAAATAATTTACCAGGTACGCGAAATAAATAGATAAATAAATAAATGTTATACAACCAATACGGCACAAGAAATTGGAAAAAAAAATGTGTAAAACCTTTACAATCACTTGAGTCATCCAGGGTGCCAACACACCTGAACACAAATCTATAAGGACACATGCAGCTTTTGCCTGTAGAAAAGTTCATGTAAGCAAACACTAGCAGATGAAGCCAATATGTGAGCAGGCATTAATTGACTGGACATCAAAGGCTAATGCACACTTTCATCAAATTTACACGCTTCTCGAGTTGGAACACTGCTTTATTTTTCCGTTCTAATATTAGTTAAACCATGGTACATCCCGATTATAAGTAAAAAACAGTGCATGTATAAAAAAAAAGTAGTCCAGTTAGAATGAAGAGCGGAGAAGAAAAAATCACTGATATAACTGACATGTGTTGGTGAGAATGAGGATAAGTAACCAGCACATGCATGAAGAAGAGGGCGATATAGTGAAGAGGAAGAAGTGCCAATTATCTGCAGCAGTTGAAAAAGTTGTAAGGAAAAAAAGTTATGATCAAAGCAATAGATAAATTACTAAGCTACGGATTTGATCTCAACCTGAGATAGGGCTTGCTGTACAAAAGGCATTTTCCACTGGGAGAAATTGTCATCAACTTGATCAGTAATGGTGACACTAGGACGCAGCGCTAGAGTACACCCAAAAAAGAACAAATTTAAAATATTGTGAAGCAGAGTACAATACCTCAAATTGCTAAATACTATTTAATGGTATACACTAAACACTAACGTCTTTTAGCCGTAAATAGCTTACATATTCATAATGGCTGCCGCAAAATGTTAATTCATCCAAGAATTACATGGTAAATATCATGAGAAGACGATGACTAAGATTGATGATAATGTAAAATTAAGATGTACTTTACGGAACACGACCAGCAAAATACTTCTTCATGCGCAAATAACACCACACAAAACATTACACCTAATTGGATTGTGTTGGAGATTTCCTTGAGAGTACTTTCTGAGGAAAACAATCATAACTTCCTTGGAATCCATCCCTCACCCATTTAACTGGGTTTCCTCTTTCTTAAAGAAAATAAAAATAACTTTTCCTGAAAAGTGATTTGTGTTCAGTGTGCCAAGTTGGGCGACGAATTCCATATTTTCATTTTCTAGGGAAGGTGCTGCTTTCCATTGCAAACAAACGGTCTCTTAGAAATTCGAAGTGCATGAGGATTTGAAAGTGCAAAGTAGGGCATCAAACAATGATGGAAAGGGGAAGAATTTTATAAAATGCAAACCTGGAAGCAATGCTATTACTAGTGGCAATGCTGACCAAAAGTTAGAAGAATTATCTGCAAACTTGCTGCAAAGCAGAGGCTGCAGAAGTGGCATGTATATGTTATTTTATGTAAGTGTATCTAGAGTACACAAACATAAGGCTTTGTTTGAAATGCAGAAAATGGTAAGGGAATGGGGGGAATGTAAAGGAGAATATTTTTCTTATGCTTGGTTTGAACTTGAAAAATGCAAAAGAAAAATATATATGACTACAAGCTTTTGAAGGTTTACATATGTTTTTTATTGCTTAGTACTCATGTAATAGAAATATATGAACTAAATGAGCATGAACAAAAATTTAAATTGATCCATCAAGTTTGGACCAATATTTTTAATCTTTTCCCAAACTTTCTTTCCATAGATATTTCTCCTCTATTTCCTTCCTATTTTCTCTCCATGGTATTTCCCAAACAGGCACTAAATGTTTCATGAAACATTGTTTCACAATATACCTGTGATGCACAAGCATATAGAACATGCAAAACCCCTTCTTCCACCAGTGCAATGTCTAACACATTTATAATATTGGAGTCTGGATGCTCAGGTATCCGAAATTCCTCCCCTAAAATGTCCGAGTAATCGATGAAGGAAGCAGGATGGGAAAGATCTGGGTTTTTTCCTTCATCAGGGAGAGAAGATCTATTCTCCAGAGGTTGGGATATTTCAGTCATGCTAATAGGGCCCATAAACTTTAGTAAAATTTGAGAAGCCTGGAGTGAGATGAAAGATTGGTCATACACTTTTTATGTGCAAATGAAACAGAATACTTTTAACAAAGTAAATAACTAAACATGATATCAAGATGAAAATGATGAATTCATGTTACCACTCTGCAAACATTTCCTAGGTTATAATCCTTATGTGCCTTTCTAAGTAGCATGAAGATTGCATCTGGACGGAATGCTAGGTAACTAGAAGTGGGTAAGACCAAAGGAGAAGTGTTGCGTGATCTTCTTGGCTGCAATGGGGAAAATGTGGAATATAATACACATCTATCCTAGCAAACATGAGAACTGAGAAAATAAGTTGAAAAATTATTATTCTTATATGAGTATGTAACAGCAGAAATTAAGCACCACTCCCTTGTGGGGTTGGTAGTTTATGTAGCATCATCCTCATGACAGTACATTGTATTAATGGGGACTGCTTGATGATCACTATATCATTAATGGCAGTCATGATTCATGAAGCCATCAAGCTCCATAAGTGAGCCTCATTTAGCTAATTTTAATTTTGGATAGATCACCCAGTTCCTACTACCGCAATCAAAAGATTCAAAACAATGAAAGGAAGGAAGGAGAGAGGGGGGAGGAAAGAAAGCGTGCAACTGTAATTATGCATAAATGTGATGATAAGCCAGCGGGAAATCAAGAAGAACAAGTTATTTCCAGGATTTGTAAGAACAAAAGAGTTACTAAGTTATTACAATTAACAACAATCAATATGGTGCCCAACATTTTCAAATAAAAACCAGAGTCCATCCATATCCCAAACAAAGAAGGGTAGATGCATTAGACAGCTCAAACAGATGTTAAATCATATTGAGCAAATCATGAACATAGGATACATCAACCCAGCATCAATTCAGGTCAAGTATTTACTTAATATGAGAATATGACCCCTCAAGCTTTTTAGGGAAATGGGTTATCATTTTCAGCAACAACAACATTACCCCAGTGCCACAAAGGCTCCCACCTGTGGTGGGGTAAGGGGGAGTCAGATGTACGCAGTTTTACCTCCGGGGGAGTCAGATGTACGCAGTTTTACCTCTATACTAAAACACAGTGAGACTGTTTCCGGATGACCCATGATGAAAATTCTCGAAAATTGCATAAACTAACTGCAGCTTCATAACAAAGAAGCGCAAACAGTTTAGTGAGCCACTTTGCTTTATTTCATCATATTCTCAAGTCAAAAAAATAGTGAGTATTTGGCTCCATTGGAAATGATAGACACGAGATGGGTTATTATTTTGAGATAAATAATTTATTATGGCGAAAAAAACTTTCAAAAAGGGAATAGTAGCACATAATGAGCAGTATACATACATACTTCAAAATTAGATGAAACTGTCAAAGCTGATGGAATCTGATTATTCCTAGAAGTTTCGGTTTCTGAAGTGTTGCATGCCAACCTTGTTGCTTCTCTGCAACAGAAAATGGAATGTTGAAATGTGGAATTACAATTAAAATTTATAAAAATGGGTCCTTCTATGAGGGAGTGATGAAATTTGTAGAATCATAGAATGGAATTAGTCCATTACTGAAAGAGAATTACAACAGTGAAACTGAAAAATCACTATGACAAGACATCCAAAGAGATTAAGTGTACTAGAAGTGGGAAAAGAGTTCCATCCTTACCTTTTCAAGACGGTGTTACTAATTTGTACAAAAACTCTCAACACTTAACTAACAGCGGCCAAGCATAAATGATAAGGAGTAAAAGGCAAAGTGATGAATATCTAGAAAGACAAAATTTTATAAATTGTACTACCTCCGTCCAGTTGAAAGGTTCCCATGGCAAAAGAGTACGGTTATTTAAATAATAATTAAATAAGATAATTTGTGTATATTTTGAGAAATATTTTTTATAGTCCCAGAAGTATTTTCATTTTTAATGAAGTTTAGAAATCCGTCAAAATTTAGGTGTCCCCGATTTGAATTTCTGTGGAATCCATGAAAATAAGGGTGTTCTCAAACATTCCATGGATTTCTATTGCTACTTATTTGGATGGATTTTAATGGATTTTGATGGATTTCTATATACAAAAACATTCCACCACAAATCTTGTAGAATCCCTCGGATTTCAAAATCTATTGATCTTTTAAAATCCATTCAACTCCTAGTTGGAGACACCTCCTTAAGAGTCCGATTCTACAAATATCTCAATGCCTCCAATGATAAATTTGCTAGAAAGCCTAGAATCTTTCGTTTAAGCAAATCTGATTCATTGTGATCCTTCGACTGATTCCCTGATTTCTTTTCTTCCGTGGTGGTTTCCTTGATTTCCTCTACCTCACCAATAATATTATAGATTAGAAACACAGATGCCACCATGTTTTCAGACAAGTACTAGTATGTTACTATTCTCAATGGTGCCAACTTCACACTATTGTTAGACAGAAAATGTTCAGTATTAAGGAGCTTACTTGGAATAAATACATCCCATAAAAAAATATAAGTTGTATGGGTAAAAAAGCAATTAAGGGTACCAACCTTTCCTTTACAACATGAAGAATTGGATAAAATTGACCAACAAGCGTCGCAAGGAATCGAATACCATGCTCTTCTGATTCTGAAAAGCCACTAAGATCAGCCTGCAGAGAATAACATGAAGTTTTAAATAACATACAGAGTATTCAAACAAGATTTGAGATTGTAAAAGAAATATTGTATTTTTGGAATCCATGTTAAAGCAATACCTCTAGTTGGGGAAGGAATGGGCCCAGCCTGATTGTAATTTCTTGAAGCAACTATGAAACCATAGTTAGGCGGATATAACATACAAGGATAGTAAAAAATTTATGAATGAACAAATGATACTAACGAAATAAATGTGTGTCTGTACCTGCGTGCCCATTCAAATGAAAGAGTTTTGCCGCTTATAGTCCCAGAAGTATTTTCATTTTTGGTTTTTGACAATTATGTTTTTACTTTTGTTGAATGACTTTGAAACTTTTTCAAGTTTTGGTCCTTCGATCCAAAATCAAGTGACTGTCAGAGTGATAGCAGGACCATGAGTAAATATGTTCTGTAGGCATCCCTTCCGTCACCCAACTTATGTATTCCCAAAATAAAATATCAATAATTTAGTTTTTATAATGGATAATTGAGTCAAGTAATCTATCTTTGAGGATGAACATACCCTGCCGACACAACCAATAAAATAAGACTACTCTGCCTATGGAATCAATTATTCTGTCTTTGAGACCTCCACTGAACCTTCTCAGTTGTTTTTGTTTTTTGTTTTGCTTGTACGAGCGTATTAGCAAAGCATATTACATAAATTAGGAACAACCTTCGCACAGAAAGTTATGAATTCAATTCAGATCCGCCCAAATTTGCTAGCTCCATTACTGAGAAGTTTTCTTGGTGGCTTCTCATTAAATGAAGGGTCCATAACCAGAATTCCCATGATCCCCTACTGCAATGTGGTGAATATTGAGATGGTTCCAATCCCAGCTATGATGTCAAGGGTCAGGCTAGCCACCACGCAGTCCACTCATGTAATTGTTGGATTTCTATAAAATAAAAATCCTTTCCATGAAAGAAAAATGAAGCTCTCCTGTGCCAGGTAAACCATACTTATGCTCTCCAGAGTCTCCAATTATTATTGGGTTTCTATGAACTCTTCAGCACACCAACAACAACATTACCCCAGTGCCGCAAAGGCTCCCACCTACGGTGGAGTAAGGGAGTCATATGTACGCAGACTTACCCCTGTGCTAAAAAGCACAGAAACTGTTTCCAGATGACCCATAATAAAGTGCAGACAATTTAGTGAGCCATTTTGTTTTATTCCATCATATTCGCAAGCCAAAAAAATAGGAAGTCCTTAATTTTGAAAAATCCTCTCAATCATGGGGAAGAAATTGGTGATGACATAATGTTAAATTGTCTAAACCCCATAGTGAAATATGCTAAAGTTCCTCAATTTGTTTGACTTTTTCCTCTTCCTGCTAATCCGTGAAGCACATGGGACCCGTATTAACTTTGGTTATGGAGCCACTCCATGAGTAGAGTAAAATCTAGCTGTGTACAAGGTAGGACTTGATCAAAGCAAATGAGAACATTGGTATGAGCTGGTTGCTAAACCCAGTGCTACTAATGATGAAGCCTTTGAGCAGTCAGATAGAATATGGTTCTGACTTTTGAGATATTTGGAAGAGGAACAAATGAAAGGAACATTCTTTATAAAGATAAAATATCCCTCAAAAGTATCACGTGTCTCAGATTTACCCATGTTACGGCCATCAGTCATTATATTTTTATGTTAAAAGGGACAAAGTGTGGCAAAAATTTCAAACTCGTGCACTAAAAGTTACAAAAGATGATAGTCGACCGAAACTCATGGGACTAAAAGTGGCAGAACTCCACAAGCACATAAAAAATGAAAAGGAAAATATATGTTTTGATCAGGACAGTAATAGGTAATTTTATTGTGTTTGTGCAACAACTAACAGAAATAGTATTCACCTGAAGATGCAAATTGGAAGCATCTTGTCTGTGTGACACTATGTGCGGTAGTAGGTAGTCTATAACAGGTTGGAACTCCGGTTCGAGTCCAGTAACAGAAATGCCAATCAGCTGTACAAAAGCTTAAAAAATGTTAAAGTGAGAATAATATTTGCAATATCGTAGGTAGTAAATTTGAAAAGCATAGTTTACATAAATGTTCCACTTTCAGAACTAGTTTAATATTACGCCCGTCCCAATTTATAAATCCCAATTTCTTTTAGCACGCATGTTGAAAAAATTATATGCGATCAACTTTCCAAATTTTAATTATTTTAAACTGCAACAAAATTGAATTTCCAGATTTACCCTCTAAAAGGTGGTATTTTTCATTTTTTTTAAGTGAAAATGATTCAAGGAATTTATTGCCGAGACATAAAAAAACGCAATTGGAAAGGTAAAAACCAAAAACTAAGTGGAATTCTAAAAGGGAAACTGAACATAATTGTGAAACAAGCCAAAAAATAAATTGGACTTATAAATTGAGACTGAGGTTCTAGTCAGAAATAAGTCAAGAACACAAAGACTAACTACTGTACCTGAAAAGGGGAAAAAAAAGAGCCAAACTAGAGTAAATAACTATCAAAACATCAATACAAACAAAAGCATGCACTTAAGTGTGACCTGAATGAAGAAAAGTGCTATAGGGGAACCCCTTAAGCAAGATATCCGAATATAACGACAAGGAGTGTAGTTCATAGGGTACATCATGTCGCGTCGAGGTGCTTCACAGCGAGGTCTGACTTTCATAAAAGTCTCAGGCTATCAACAACAAAAAATGATTAGAGAGAAGGTCATTTTCTCATAGAGATACACTTAAACATCTTGGGGGTACAGATATTTATAAAACCAATAGGATTTTTTATGCTTTCAAAATGAAAAAATAACTAGAAAGTCCTCTTTACAGACCTACAACAGTTTACCAATACCAACTTATATGTTTGTACCACTCTCTCAAGACTGCATTCAGTAATCTTAAGGAGAATAAAAACAAAACAAAAAACATAATAAGAGTGACCGGTCAAACATCTCTTTTTGATACCTTGTAGCGAAGGCCAGCTGAAATTTCCCATTCAAGCACAGATTTATTATATATCCTTAAATGTGAAAGCAGACAAGGTTCCTGCAATAACAAGGCATTAAAATATAATGACATACTTTAATCAATTACGTTGCACATTGATAATCTTCAGAAGCCTAGTTCATCAATCAGAGATGACAATGAAAATAAGAAACTGTAATGTGCATGGAAAACAATATGTGCAGTATTGTGCACGCACAATTTTCCTCCCCATAAAAGTGCCTGATATGGGGAGACAGTAAAGTGTAACAAATAAGGAAATCCACATATCACTGAAACTGAAATAGATTCGTGCCTGAAAATTTCTTAGCACTTGGTAAACATGCATGAGCATATACATTCCTAAAAAATGGGTAAGTTTTCCTTTTGAAAAACGATCTACTTAAATTAACCATTCTACTGTTTATTGATGCTTAAAAATGGACACAAAATCATGACAGGCTGTGATGGGAATTTATGGTACATAAGTGATGTATTTAAGCTTTCCATCATTTCCAATGGAGCCAAAGACTCACTATTTTTTGGCTTTTGATGGAATAAAGCAAAATGGCTCATTAAACTATATGCGCTTATTTGTTATGAAGTGGCAGTCAGTCCATGCAATTTTCAACGTGATTTTCATCATGGGTCATTCGGAAACAGTCTCTGTGCTTTAGTACAGGGGTAAGGCTGCATGCATCGACCCCCCTTACCCCACCGTAGGTGGGAGCCTTTGCGGCACTGGGGTAATGTTGTTGTTGTTGAGTGATGTATTTAGGCACTTCTATCAACTTTCCTGGGTTAGTCACTAATAGAAAAATATCCTAAAGCCAGTTACTCCTAAATGTGGGAGTGTGGATCTAAGAGAGAAATACTCAGTGCCATTCAACAGCTAATGACAGTTCTTATGAGATTATTATTTTTTGCTAGTCTCCCCAAGTTTCGCATAAACAGAAGCAATCAATACCATAGACAGCCCATGAATTAATCATTGTTAGAATATTATCCCGTGTATCCTGTGACTTTTTTACTATTGGTGGAGATATAGGGTATCTCACAATTAATGGTATTGGAGATATGTTAGGAGTTATTTTGTAGTGTATCCCAGGATTCTTGATTAGTGGTGACGATATATTAGGATTTGCTACTTAAGGAAGTAATTATATTATCAGTTATTAGCATTGGTGTTTATCCTTATATAGGATTGTCTATTTTATTAGATATGTACAGATAGTGAAATACCCTATTAATTACAATATCATCAGAGGAAGGATAAGGCATTTAGCCGGTTTGATAAATAAGTCATGCCTCAGACAAACCCATCCATTCGAACAAGTTTGGCAAGTACAGCTCATTTAACAGAGCATCACATTTAGTCATCTGAACTCAAATCATATGGCACTGTACAAACTAGTCCGGCAAAGCCACAAAACCCCCACAATTTATTTGCCATCCAATATGCCTAATATTAAGTTGCAGAGCAGTTCACAGACATATGACATTCATAAGAAGGCAGTCCTAGAAGGAATGGGATTAAAATGATCAATAATGGATATAGCAAGTGAGAAGTGTAAATACATCTAGCTCAAGCAAGATCCACTCTTTGGTGTTTGTGCCGGTGGACCAGTGGTTACGGAGGTCCGGGTCAAGTACATGGGAAGCCTTTTGACCCGGAGATTCTCGAGACATAGCCTTCACTTTGAAAGGTAAAGGCTTCACCTTCGGCTCTAACTCCACCTCCATCTCTCTATGAGGTTAGTGTACTGTGTAAGCTCTTTCTTTCAGAAAAGTAAGTAACAGTGCAGTGGGAGCTTGTCTGAGGTTGGTTACTCGAAAATGATATCCATTCTTAAGCTTTGATGGAATAAGATAGGATAACTTCTTATTCTTCTTTTGGGAAAAATGCAAAATGCCCCACTATGAGTGTTCAAAAATGGAAGAAAGCATTAAAACACTACATTTTTGGTACTCCGTACTTAGTTGGATCATGGATAGAAGTTAGTGGTTCCTAGCTTTTTTTATTGAAGTCCCAAAAGATTTTAATTGTGTCATGCCTATTCGGTCCTAACTTTTTAAGATGTCTAGGTCTTTTACGAAAAAGATACATAATAAAAAATTTAATAAGAAATGACATTTTCATTCATTCACAACTAGAATTCATTTGTGTGATACATAACAAAATAATGAAATATCATATGAATATGATTACATGGAGGAAAATTCCAATGATTAGAGATAGTGTGCGAGATAATAATGATACTGAACTATGTGTGATTAAAAAGTTGAAAACATATGGTGTTCAAGAAGTAAATCAAAGCACGATATTACACACAGAACGCAACTATTTACATCAAATAACTTATTACAAATGTTGGAGCACAACCTTGTACACTATGTTAGGCGTTCATTTGGATTGACTATCATTAGAATTGCTAATAAGAAGATTCAAACAACTATAATTTCTAATACTTGAAATAACAACATGTAAACTCTCAATTATTTTAAAAGTTGTAATAAAATGCTCGTCTTTTATCACATATGTAACATCAATTGGATGCTAATTTATATGATTATTTTTCCAAATATAAGTTTTATCGCTGATACATATGTTTCACTTTGTCTTATTATTATTAGGTGGATATATTTTTCAAATCATTGATTGTGTGCATTTTGCAATAATATGAATTATGTCTCTTTTTGTTATACAAATTTGTAATTAATTACCAAATGAGCTATACCTTTTTAAAAATATTGAAGTGTAATCAACAAATATCATAAATTGTTTGTTTTATATAAACCAGTTATATCGTGGGTGGGATGTCTTGGCCAGGAGAACCCTTTAAATAGCATAGAACACGTATAGCGACTTCCCAATGAGCATGGCGAGGGTGATGCATAAACTGAGATAAGATATGAACAGAATAACAAATGCCAGGCCAGTGAGAGTAAGATAAATAAGTTTGTCAACTAAACGATGATATTGATTGGGATCTGAACAAAGAGGACCGTCATCAAGTTACAACCGATGGTGTTGAACCATCGGAAAGGATGTCGATCGTGCACCACTGAACGGTCTCGGCTAAAATGTCAAGAGTATTTGTGTTGGCGCAAAAATATTCCTGTATGATTCCGAGCAATTTCCATCCCAAAGAAATATTTCATAGGTCCAAGATCCCTGATGGGGAACGTACGTGCCATGAAGCCTTTAAAATGTTGAATTAATTCCGGATAATTTCATGTGAGAAGAAGATCATCCACATATACTAAAATGCACAAAATAGAATCATGGCTCTTTAAGGTAAAGAGGGGATAATCCGCAGTGGTGGACGAGCAGAAGGTGGTGGAGCAACTGTAGGTGTAGGATCGGCGAAAGGCGGAGCCGCGTAGAAGCGACGGTCGGCGCTAGTAGCAGCTATACACGGAGCAGTGCAGGAGCGGCGGTAAGCACAAGGGGGTAGTAGGTGCAAGGGCAGCGGTAGGCGCGGAGGTAGCGGTAGGGGCAACAACGCGATGATTAGGTAGGTCATGTATCACACAAATCTTGTTAGTAAAAATACGGTGTATTACAAATCATCAATCAATCCCCCAATGGAAGTAAAATCCAGAAAGTCCAGACACATAAAATACACTTTTTAATTCTGAATTGTGACTAAGAGATACATCTCCTATAAGCTGAGCACCTGTAATATCACCATTTAGGAGAGTCACCCGGGTATTTGTTAAGAGTTGTTTAGATGAAAAAATATTTTCACACCCAGTCATATGATAAGATGCCCCAGAGTCTAAGATTCAGTCAATCATTGGGATATTACGTGAAAGTTTTTCACATGGTGTTTGCAATTTACAATTGCTTACGAGATTGAGAAAACTTGCCCATTGATAAGGTGTAATTGACAAACCAATGAAGGAAATTACATGTGATCTAGAATCTTCAGCATTCTTTGTGTTTTCGGCTTGAACAACATGTGAAACCGCCTTGCTACGTCCCATGTTATTTTCGCTCTTTGTTTTCCCACGCTTACATCCCGGGTTTTCAAACCACCATTCAGGATGATTCCCATTGCGTTTAAAACATGTGTTGATGTCATGTCTTTCCTTTATATAGAAGGTGCAAACAAGTTTTCTATCGGAAAAAATCCCATGGGCTCGCCTAGCAGCAATTGCAATTGCATCTGGTTGAACTTCCCGTCTACCCACTATGTTCTTGTGCCGTTCTTCCATCATCAACATCTGATAGACTCTGGACAGAGAGGGCAATTCTTCTTCACTCAAGACGTTTGATCGAAGAACTCCAATGGCATCACCATCCAACCCCATTAAAATTCATGGGTCTTCTCGTTTCAATTTGTTTGAGATACGTTTGTTCAAGATCACAAGTACATCCTTCGCACGTGCATGTCGGAATCACAAGAAAAACATCGTACTCATCCCACAATGCTTTCAGTTTTCCAAAATACATAGTGATTAACTGCTCATTCTGTTTATAACCGTGTATGATTATTATTAGGTCACATATTAAGGGTGGTAGATTCTTAGATTGATTTACCTTAGTTGCTAGATTTCAGTTGAGAGCTAATCAGGCTGACTTAGACACTAATAGCCTCAAAGCTTTTACATTTTCAACGATTAATCTCGTTCTTTTGGGATGGACTACTCTATATCTAATAAACAAGTGAGGGGGGCGGTGGACTTATGATTATGTTTGTCTAGAGGGAGGTTAGTGTCGGATGGTTACTTTATTGTTTGCAATTCGCATGGTTGTACTGCGAGTTTTTATTTAATATAATATGCCAGTTTCCAGTCAAAAAAATAGATATTTACATTTTTATTCTATTTTAAAAAACAAAAAAATGAATTTATAATTATTCCCAGAACTTGTACTATGTAGTTGTTCATAAACCAAGGAGTAAAGACACCCCCACGCTCATCAATCAGGGAGTTGCCACACAGAACTCAGCCACTTGTAGATACCGAATCATTGTTTTTTTATCTTCAAACAATCAAATATATTAAATCAACAAAACATTCGTCACATGGTTGATAATACAATAAAAGAAAAAGCAAATAATAAAACGATAAAAAGTCTTCTGTCTGCCGTCCGCCCTTGAACCAGACTTAGAATCTATCACCTTTGTAGAAGTAATAAGATTCGTCGATCCTATAATAGGCTTAACTGAGCCAATGAGAGACAAACCAAACTTATCATCACACGTTCAAAACAACATGCAATTCAAAAGAAAAACACAAACAAAATAAAACGGAATTAAAACAGAGTTCACTAATCTTCTTCGAGACCCTAGACTCTCTTGCACTCCATGGCAGCGGCTCGGGGGGGGGGGGGGGGGGACGCACCCGCCGCTCCTCCGCCTCAATAGCCATACTTCTGTATTGACTGGCGATATCCTCCAATGATATCCCTTGCTACTGAATCGAACTCAAGCTCCGCCTCAGCTTATCCACCTTTTCATTGTTTACACTCGACCTTCGAGTAGAAACAACAGTAGATGTCGAGACCTGACTGCCAAAGCGTTACATCCCTGATCACGAGCCTGCTTGCACGACCAAAATCGACTGACGACCGCTCTTCGTCAATGACGAAAGCGGAAGAACGAAACCCTGAGTATCGTAGGGAGATGACCGCTTGTACGTAAGTCTAGAATTAGAATTCAGAATATTTGTTACCAAACCATTGTCTATTTGTTAAAGAAAAATTTAAGTAGTCTATTTGTGATAAAAAAAATTAGGAAGAAGGGGGCTTAGATTGATATCACAACATTCAGATTGGAGTTAAAATAACAAAAGAACCACATGCAACCATCAGCCCTTGAACCAGACTCAGAGTTAATCACCTTTGACAAAACAATATAACTCGTTGATCCTAACTTGGGCATAATTGAGCCAAAGATGGTTACCGTAGACCCGTCGTCACCCAATCCTAACGCAGGAGTCTTACAACAAGAAATATAATAAAAATAAATGACAACAATCTTAACCTGGAAATTAAAGTGAAAAACAACAAAAAATAAACACCATAGCTTGTTCTCTTGAGCAAAAATACCAGTCGCACGTCCGGCGGGTCTAGAAGCCCGGACCCGCCGCCTCCCTGTTTTTTGGTCTGTCCAGGGACATGCTCCCGCCTCCTTCTTCATCGAAATTCAGTTCGCTGTCCTCCTCTTCAATAACTATCTTCTTGTAGTGATTCACAATATCCTCCATCAAAGCCTTTGGAGTGTTGACGGAACCACTGCCTTGCGGTCGATTTGGAAACAGCGCCGAGACTTCAGCCTTGCTGACTCGATTCCGCAGCACTCTGCCTGCACACCTGCATTGAACGAAGATCGCGAAAAAGCCTTGGATTATCAACCAAGAATGGCGGCCGTTCTTCGGCATTGCCAAAAATGGAAAACAAAAGATACTCTAGCGGCTAAAGCCCTAGAGAGATAATTTAATTTATAGACTTGTGATAAAAAATTTGAAAACTGAAAAAAATGATATCTGTAAAATTTATCAAAATTATAAGTTTGAGTGGGCTGGTATTCCGCTGAGCAGCGAGGCCTGAACTACTAATTTTGTCCGGCCCAAGCCAAGAAAACGGAAAAGCTTAGTAAATGATAAGGCTGGGTCCGAAAAACCGAAAACCGAAAGCCGAATCAAATTAAACCGAACCGCAGCCAAATAAAACCGAACCGCTAAGAAACCGAAACACTAAGAAACCGAAACTGAATGTAAAAAACCGAACTGAACCGAAGTTGTTTGGTTCGGTTTTGGTTTTTACCCTTCAAAATCGAACCAAACCGAACAAACCGAACTATTTAAAATATGAAATTTATATGTTAATTGTTAAGCATTAATTCTAATTAATCCTAATATCATCAATAGTCTTTGGTTTTCTTGTGTTAGAGAAATAATGTTTGTGCTATGTTTAATTTAATTTAATTTATAAATTCATTTACACATTTATTGTCTATAATAATATAGCTATATTGAATGATGATAATATGTGTCAACTATATCACATAGAACGTATATATTCATGAACTTTTTTCGAACTACTCACAAACAAATTAAATCAATAATCTATATAGTTTTATCTATCTCACATACTCATATAATTCAAGACATATTTATTCCTTCTCATTTTTATTTTATTTGTTGTTGTATTGTGCTTGCATTCTTTATGTAATATGTTTGATCCCTCTAAGTATTATATCAATTTTAAATCAAATGAGAATTTTTGGGTAAAAACCCGAAAAAACCAAAACCGAACCGAAACAAACCGAACCACCATCTAAGTATTACGTAGTATATCAATTTTAAATCAAGTGAGAATTTTTTTGGTAAAAAACCGAAAAAACCAAAACCGAACCGAAACAATCCGAACCAATCAAACCTTGGTTCCAAGTTTTGCAGGGTTAAACCGAATCAAAATGGAACCAACTTTTTAATTTGATTCAAAATGGAACCACAAGAATCTAATCCACCCCAGTAAACGAGTATGGAGTACTAGAAACGGACACATCAGCGAATTCACGGCCGTAAACCGAAAACGGATTTAAGCGGCCGAGTGCCCTGCCGGCCGCCTGGTGCCTGCCGGACTTCTAGTTGTTCAAGACTTCCTCAGCCAGCGCCCAGTCAGCCTTGTGGTTGTGGACCTCTGGTGCAGACGTGCAGTGGCGCAGTGCTCTGTGCTCACCTTCAGGGATTCAGGCTTCACGCCCGAGACCGCCCCTGTTCTGCTGTCCACGCCTCGTCGCCTTCATTGCAGTCTTCCTCACCGCCTCAACAATCAGCCATCAGAAGTTCAGGTGAGTGCGGCCTCCTCTATTTCTTAATTTATTTGATTAGTTTATTAATCGGCTTCTTTCATGGTTGATGATTCATAGTTGTTTAATGTTTATAAATGAACAGTTGATAAATTCTTAATTGATTTATTGGTTGTTGAGTGTTACTAAATGTTAATTTCATATTCTTAATTGTTGATTGTTATTTATTGAGTGTTGGTTCTAATGAGTGTTGGTGTTATAATTTATTGATTTAATGATCTTGTTAGGTAAAAGTTTTCAATTACAATTAAATTTAATTAATTTCAATGTGTAAAAAAATGGTTGAATCTGTATGGGAGAAAGAAAAAAGAGGAGAAGATTATAGAAAGCAGCCCTGAGTAAAAGGCTCAATAGAAAAGTTTATTTGTGTGAAGATGTCGAATAGGAGAGAAATGATTTAGCTACTGAAAATGAAATGGTTCAGAATGATCAAGTCATAAGATGGGAAAATTTAGGAGTTGATAATATTGATAGTGAACAATTGAAGCTATGTTTTTTATTTTGTTATTAAAAACCTTAATTCTACTATGTTTAGTTTAACGAATTTAAGTCTTTCTCTATTATAGTATTATTATAAAAGGTCTTGAAATATAACTGTTATGCATGCTAGCTTAGACTGAAAAGGGTTTTACAATTTTTTTACAGATTAGACCCATTTTAAGTTAACCGCCCCTTAGGCCTGCCAGGAGTCCAGGACTGGCCCTAACAATCTGGTCCTATTTAGAGAAAACAAAATATGTGATTCTATTTTTGGAAGTTAAGTTTTTTTATTGCTAAGAGCATTTTCCTCAATTATTATCCACCAAAATGCAGTTATGGTCTTCTACTCCCTAGCCCCCCAATGAACAGCAAGTGATATCTGGCATTGAAACGAATCAACTTCTAGGAATGGCGGCTAAACAAATGGAACAAGTTCAGAAGAAATTGGCGATGCTCAACTATCCAAGAGCCAATGCTCCTGCACAAGCGCTCCTTTTCGCCGGCATGGAACGCTATGCCCTTCTTGAATGGCTCTTCTTCAAGTACTTTTTCCCACCTCTATAGACACACAAGCATATTCAGGCGGGTCAATATTGATGGTATGATAAAGCTGCGACCTTTGATGCAGGCTGTTGGGCGACAAATCCCCATTCTCACAGCAGAATTTACAAGGGGATGAGGAGACCTCTCGCATTCAATGTATTTTTCCTGCCCATATTTAACCTTTTTTTCTTCGTATTAGATAATGCTTTCTTCTTCATATTCGGCAATGATTTAGTGTTCGCTAAAGATGAGACCTCTAGTTTCCAATACGAAATTGGGTGAAAGTGTGCTGTCTGTATCAGTGAACTTCACTAGTCCTAATGGGAGATAAGCTAGACCACTGAAGTGCAGTACAACTGAAATTTTTATTTTAAGCCTGAAAGCTCATCACATAAACCTGCACGGTTAAGAGAAAATACAGTTGAAAAATGCGGCACTCTTTTGTAATTTTTCAAATTTTTTGATCCTTTGTTTCATTTTCTTGTTTTATTTTTTGGATACAGATTCCATCTGAAGTAGATTAAGACCTAAATGATAATCGGTGTGTTTGGGTTTAGCTTTTGGCAACAGCTTTCCAAAAAGCCCTTGCTGTTTTTAAAAAGCTAAATCCATATGGACACAATCACACAATTGTTTTGTTATTTTTGTATAAAGATGCCATATTGTCATATATAAGATTATGACTTTGATTCACGTAAATGATTTGTGCTATCTCAGATTTGGCAGAGATTGCAAAGTTCCTGGGTATAACTACTACCGTGGACACAGATGCCATACAAGTGAGTTCAATTTTTTTTTTCATTTTCCTATAATTTTTCTAACATCTTATCATTTTTCCAGCCATCCTATGACACAAAGTAGATAAGGTCATAGCTCTGGCGCTGCTTTTCTCTTAATGTTCATTGTATTTTGTATGGAGTATGGAGAGTCTGGGAAGCTTTTGAGGTGCTTTTGAAAATTGAAATGGAGATTCAGAGTACAAAAACAACCCTCCTTCACCCAAAGTTTTTATTATTGAACTTATTAATTGCTAAGAAAATAATCCTCAAGAAACTCATCAACATTGTTAATAAATAAGAAATTGCCCTAAATAAGAGTAAAACAATGTGAAATTTCAAAATAGAACTGCTATGTTTTTATTTCATAAATAGGAGTAAGTATTGTCATGCTTGCAAAATACTTCCATTTATGCCATTAATACTGCCATATTAGTGCTTGGTAATGCTAAAAATGGAAGCATATTTCAAGATGACAGTAATGTACTCCTATTTATGGAAAATCATAGTACTCCTATTTATGGAAAATCATAGTACTCCTATTTTTAAAATTCCACATAGTTTTTACTCATATTTTGGGAAATTTCTCTTAATAAATTTATTTTATTGGTTTAGGTTTAAGGTGAGTTTGTGTAAGTTTCATTTCCATTCGGTTATCAGGAACTTTATTCTTACCTTTCTGATATACTGGTTGCAGGGGCGAGGAAGCTATGAAGATCGTACTGAAATGCTGCGCCTGATTGTTGATCTTGTGGAGGCAAGTTTGTATGCTGATAATCCTAAATGGAGGTTAGGATTTAACATAAAGTTGGTATTGATTAGACTCTTTAGATTTGGAAGCTGATTCTATATCTCGGCCTAATGTGTAGAGTTTGTAGATCAATCAAGTGTGCACAATAAAGTGTGTCTGGAGTGCATGATTAATTACATATACAACAACAACATCCAAGCGTTAACCCCAAAAGATTTTGGGGTCAACTAACATGAATCGACATATGACTATTAATTACATATACAAACAACATCCAAGCCTTCGTCCCAAAAGACTATTACTTATATATAATGAGATAAATTACTTGGAGGTAGCATCATATTATGTACTAATTGAAACCAAACGGAGAGTAATGAAGGTGCAAATGCAAGGCAGAAGGTACAACCATAAGATCACAACACTTATTCCATCTTTTAAGGGAAATCACAGAGTGACTTTTATATATATTGTCAGCTATTTATTGATTTATTTTCGTTTTTCTTGCCATGCAGTGTTGATGAACAGGTAAGTAAGGACATTCAGCTAATTGATGCCATATCCGAAAAACAAGCACAAATCTTTTCTGAAGAGTGCAAGTTGTTTCCTGCAGATGTTCAGATCCAATCCATATATCCGTTGTATGAAACATTATTATTATTATTGTTATTATTAATGCTATTGTTGTTACTATTGTTATTGTTGCTGTTGTTATTTTGCTCCAGTCATATGTTTCTTAAGATACAGTTGCATAAGGTGGGTGTGAGAAAGAGAGAAAACAACATCCCAACTCTTAAGGAGAATACATCCTCAGTTTATATTTTGATAAACAAAATGTTTCTCAAAATGAGGCGCGCAAAGGCGCGAGGCGCCTCTGGGCGATGACTTCATCGCATCCAAACATCCCAGGCACAGCAGATTCCATAAGGCACGCCTTTTACCTCGCCTAGTGCCGCTTTTTGCGCCTCTTTGAGGCGTCGCCTTTCACGCCTTATGGAGAATATGTCCGCTGACCTTCCTTCAAGCCTTTGGCGATTCATCCTGCTCGCCTAGACTTCACTCCATCAACTCAAAGTCTCAAACCTTCCGCTCTTTCTGTCGCAGATCATTGCCGTTTTTATTTTTCTTTTTCTTCCGTTCTCTTGTTTCTTTTGTTCGGCTGGGTACGTTTCTTTCTTCCTCTTGTTTTTCTATTCTTTATATTTTTATTTGTTAAATAAAAAAATTAATATAAATTATGTAAATATATAACCATATAACAATCTTCCCTAAGCTTATTTAAAAAAAAACAATCTTCCCTAAATCCTAATACCAATCCGAATTTTATCAATTTTAAAAAATACTCCCTCCGTCCCCTTTTAAATGTCCCATTTTACCATATTGGGATGTCCCTATTTAATTGTCTCATACCTTATTTGGTAAAGTTTGTGTGGCTCAAAATCATTTTTACTTTATTCTTACTTTATTCTTACTTTATCAATTAATATCAACCACACAAACCCACTTTTCTTAAAACTCGTGCCACCCTCTCCCGGGACATTTAAAAGGGGACGGAGGGAGTAATAAATATGGTTTCTCAATCTGTGAATCTGATTGTTTAACTTTATATTCTTGAAATTTTATAACAATTAGTCAATTATATATGACAGCTTGTTGTTATTAACTTATTAATAATCTTTATATACAAGTTTATGTTAAAATTTACTATTAATGGCTTAGGATTAGTAATAAGAAGCTGTTCCATTCGTCTTAATCTTATTACTTATTCCTTAATCTTATTTTATTCAGATCAGATCAGATCAGAAAGATTCAGATCAGATCAGATCAGAAAGGTTCAGATCAGATCAGATCAGAAACATTCAGATCAGATCAGAAAGATTCAGATCAGATCAGCAACATTCAGATCAGATCAGAAAGATTCAGATCAGATCAGAAACATTCAGATCAGATCAGAAACATTCAGATCAGATCAGATCAGATCAAAAAATTCAAACATGATTTATCACTTTTATTAATATATTAATTATGATTATTATATTGTAATTATTGTTAATAATATTAATATATTAATATAATAATATTATTAATAATATAATAATAATAATGTTAATAATATAAAATTATTAATATAATATAATATAATATAATATAATATAATATAATATAATATAATATAATATAATATAATATAATATAATATAATATAATATAATATAATATAATATAATATAATATAATATAATATAATATAATATAATATAATATAATATAATATAATATAATATAATATAATATAATATAATATAATATAATATAATATAATATAATATAATACTCCCTCCGTCCCAAAAACAACTTCCCAGTCACTATTCATTGGTCAACTTGAATCACTCGTAATCTTTTACTTTTTATATCAAATTTTTCTCAAATTTAAATTTTATTGATCAGGCTTTGTAGCGGTTTTAATATAGTTTTCTGAATATGTAAATTTTATTTACTAAAAATAATCCGAGTGTGAGCAGGGATCGAGTTGCTTTATCGTCAGTCAAGCATCGTAAACCGAACGAGAAGTTAATTTTGGGACGGAGGTAGTATAATATAATATAATATAATATAATATAATATAATATAATATAATATAATATAATATAATATAATATAATATAATATAATATACTATGATATGATATGATATGATATGATATGATTATGATATGATATGATATGATATGATATGATATGATATGATATGATATGATATGATATGATATGGTATGGTATGATATGGTATGATATGGTATGATATGGTATGATATGGTATGATAGAGTATGATATGGTATGATATGATATGATATGATATGATATGATATGATATGATATGATATGATATGATATGATATGATATGATATGATATGATAGAATGTAATGTAATGTAATGTAATGTAATGTAATGTAATGTAATGTAATGTAATGTAATGTAATGTAATGTAATGTAATGTAATGTAATGTAATGTAATATAATATAATATAATATAATATAATATATTTATAATTATAATTATAATTATGATTTACAATGTAATTATAATTATAATCATCATTATTATTAATATGATTGTTGTTCTTGTTGTTATTGTTGTAATTATTATTACTTCGGAGTAATTATATATTTAAATTAGTAATTATAGATATAATTATGATTATAGAAATAAATATTATAATTATAATTACAATAATAATTATAAAATTAATCATAATTAAAAATATAATTACATTTATAATTGTATCTGTACTTATAATTAGTGTAATTAGTATAATTATTATAATTTTAAATTTAATTTTAATTATTATTTTTTTATAATTATGATTATAATTGTAATTTTATTTAAGTTATATTTTTAATTACAATTATAAATCTAATAATTATAATTATAATTACAATTATAGAAATATTCAAATCAGATCAGAAATATTCAGATCAGAAGAATTCAGATCAGATCAGAAACTTTCAGATCAGATCAGAAACATTCAGATCAGATCAGATCAGCAACATTCAGATCAATTCAGCAACATTCAGATCAGATCAGAAAGATTCAGATCAGATCAGATCAGAAAGATTCAGATCATATCAGATCAGATCAGAAAAATTCAGATCAGATCAGATCAGAACTTAAAAAATTCAGATCAGAAACATTCAGATCAGGTGAACGGAACAGCTTCTAAGTATTAACAGTTTATTGTAAATATATTTACTATTAATAGAAGTATTTTTTAGAAAAGTGCTTCATGTAGAAGTTGTATAAATATATTTTACCAAAGATATGTGGTTTAGTTCAGTGAGGCGCGCGCCTCGTCGCCTTGCGCCTCACGCCTCGGGTAAATCGATGAATCGCCTCATGCCGCCTCGCGCCTTTTAAAACTAATAATATGACCACATATATTTCTGTTAACGATTTCAAATTTTAGGTGGGAGCCTTTGCGACATTGGGGTAATGATGAATGATTTCAAATTTTATAGTCTCAAATTTATATCAACATATAAACTAAGCCACTTAAAGTGTTACCCACCAAACCACTCCAAAACCTCTCATCCAAAAAGACCTTAAGGAGCAGAAATACCATTATACATGAGATGCTTAATAATGGGATTATTTCTATGTTTCTAGCTTGAAATGGTTTATTTTTGTAACATCTGTCTATTTATTTCAATCCAATTTCACTTGCAGGCCTGAAATTGGCGATTTGGAGAAGCAGCTCTCAGATCAGTCTAACAGACTTGTTAGTATTCAGGAGATGGTTGATGATTTAGCATCAAAGGTTATTCTGCCTTTTAGATTGTTCTAAATCATAGTTCTGCTTCTGTTGGCATTCACTTCACTTCCATTGAGATATAGTTTCTTAGATCATTGAACTTTCATTTATGCTGTGTAAGTTTCTAATTTACAGCATCCATATAACCCGGATGAGGAGTACGTGGAGGTTGAAGCAATATTGCGGGCCCATTTAGAAACCTTCCTAGAAACTGCTAAATCCTTCAATACAATTTATAACAAGGTCAGCTTTCAAGTACACTACAAATATTTTGTACTCTTGCTCCGGCCACCTTTTATCATTAGCAATTATAATTGCTAATGATAGTTATAATAATTTGCAATTATACTTCCTATTCTTATTACTTTTTACGTTAATAGGAAATACGTCCCTGGACACACATGATGGAGGTACCACAATTGCATGGATTTGGGCCAGCGGCCAATAGATTGCTGGAAGCATATAAGATGCTTTGGAAGGTATATTTCCATGGCACATTTCTTGCGTCTAATTTGTTGTTCATTACTACTTCTGTCCCGTTCAAAGGTTTTCATTGCAAAACAGCCCGGTGATTAATACAATAATTAATTAAGGTAATTCGAGTATATTTTGAGAAATAGTTTTGATGGGTATATAATATAATGGGGTTAATGGTGATAACTGTGATGCTATAGATGTATTATATTTAATATTTGATCATTAAATTGTCATTAAGAGTGTTAAATGTTTTCTAAAATAGAAATGAGAACCTTTATATGGGATGTTCAGAAAAGGAAAGTGAGAACCTAGAAGTTCCAAATAAATTTATTTAATGCGTCATGCGGTTTCAAGTTGGTCTCTCCCTTAGGTCCCTTAGGGTGCTTGGATGGAGTGTTTTGGAATGGATGGCTATGAAGGGCAAAGTCTATACCTTGCTATAAGTACATATGTACACACATAAAGTGAAGATATGCTTATATACCACAGGTGATCACTGATCACATAACATTTCAACTACCTTTTGAAAACACATTATTAGATAAAGATATGACTGAGCTCTACATGTCCTTCCCCTTTAAGACCCTCCAACCCCTAATGGCAAATAGACCCTTGGTTTTTTTTATAAACCTTTCATTGCATACCAATGATTGTTGTTGTCGCCGGGCAAACTCACATGGTGTACATACTCCTGAACATTGGGTCTATCATCTATGATATTTTTTATTTGTCCAATTGACCGTTTAAGGTGATCACCCAGGTAAAGCTTTCTCATTTTCTATTTATTTTGTAACACTTTATTTAGCTTTGGGTTTTAAGAGAGGAAATGTAGGGGCGATTTTGATTTTCTGTCACTTTGTAATTTGTTTTACAGTTCCTAGGTAACTTGAAGAACCTAAGGGACTCTCATGCAGCTGTGGCGGTGGGGTCATCGACAGAAACAGTTGGGGGAGAGCCATCTTCTGTCACCAGAATAATCTCAGAATGTGAAACTGCCTTGACTCTTCTTAACCGCGACCTCTCCATTCTCTCTGCTTCCATTGCTCGCGAGCAAGTTGTTGATGACTCATGAGCCCAGGAAGAGAAAAGAGGAAAATGTTACCAATCAAAGCAATTTGTCCTGTTTCAAAATTTTCTTATTCTTTTTAATTTTTGTGGGCAATACTCTGTATAAGTTGATCAGCCTTAATCTAACCTACTTTTTAAACACTTTTAAGGGAATTAATATTCTTTTTCATTTTGTGTGTGTGGGGCCATTGGGCAACAATGTTTTATGCGATTATTATTAGTCTTTTGCATATTGGTTGTGCCTAAAACTATCAACAAAACATAAGAACTGTTGAAACATGAAAATGTCACCATTGATTTCCAATATGTACAAATTAGGAAGCCCAAAAGGGTCTTGGTAATCAGTCTAATCACTACAGATGTGGGAAATGTGAATGTGTCGCCTCTGGCTAGGAATAGAAGAACAAATCATCAGCGATGTTCACGTGATGTTTCAGTGAAGGCGCACTCATTAGATCCTTTTCTCCTTCTCTGTCACTGTCAACGGAAAGTTGACCGCTACCGTGGTCATCCGTATGCGAAGCGTACGGCGGAGATTGAGTCACAAGACTCACAACTTTTACAAGTTTACCGTCATTGGACGGGCTGGATCGTTCCACGCCTTCATCAGCGGATTCATTTTCCTCAAGCAAGGTCCTTCCGGCGGCAACGGGGCACAGGAGGTCTCCGCCTTCGATCTCAGCCCCGAAATCCGACACCCGACACTGAGATGATCTCGGCGGGATTGGCGACGGCGGTTCGACTCTTGGAAACTCATCTCTCGCCGGTGGATGAAGTGATGGTTGGATTGGAGCCGGATATTGAACCCCGCCGCCGCCACAGGCAAATGGAGCGTCTAAGGATTCGGAAATGGAAAACACTACGATCCACCGGTTCTGATAGACCTCCGTGCTGTTGACGTGAACGCCGTTCACTGTCACCACACCATCGACGGAATCCACCGTCAATGCCCTGTTCGCGGCCAGAGTCTGGAAGGTCGTGATTTTGGGCGGATATCTTGCGAGATCATCAAAACGATGCCGTTGGGGAAGAACATGGCTTCGGAAATTGAAGCCGAACCCTCCATGTTTCGAGAAAAGTACCCGATCGGACGGCGCGAACAACGAAACTGTTCCCAATCTCAACATCTCCGATCGTTTGATCGATATGGCTGCAGCGACTACGGTGAATCCCCTTCTCCTGATCGCTCTAACTGCGTGATCGAGAAACTTCCGGTCCACACGCGGTGGCTGATGAGCTGCCGGCGTATGATCCTCTGAGAAAGAGCACTTCGTAGCCGACGTTGGGTCCAGTATGCCGTCGATTCCGTGCACGGCGACGCGATCGTCGGCGAACATATCAGGCTGTCTGATTCTGACCGCCGTAAGTGACTTCTTGGACGCCGAAATTGAGACATCCCCATTTGAGTTCTTGAGGAAGAGGCAATTGCCGTTGAATAGCGTCGGGAGCTGGTCCCCATCCGTCAGCGACGAGAGATTTCGCCACTGGAGTGGTGGCCGGAGAGTGTGGAAGAGTAGGATGGTCATAGAGGGGCGGTGAGGCACTCGGCGGTTGGGGGTGACAAACTTGGAGATAGCGAAGGAGAATGCGAAGTCCGGCGGGGCCAAAATGGTGCCAGAGAAGTTAGCGTTACTGGCTGTAATGACGGAGAGGGTGGAGGCAACCAGGGAATAGCCCCGTGTCCGGAGAACTTCTGCGGCTGTCTGGACAGAGGACGGCGGCTGAGACAGGGGCGCGGCGGTGGAGGCGGCCCATGTGACGAGGAGGCAGAAGAGTGGGAGAGCGAACGCGATGATGTTCAAGAAACTGTAACTGTGAAACTCCATAGCTTCTTTATCAGCGGAAGGTGTGGATAATCTGTTAAGTGCTCTCTGTATTAGCTAGGGATCATGAATGGAGGAAGAAGAAGACATGCGTGGGGATTTATTGGTGGAAGATCATATTGGGATTGCAAAGGGAATAACTAACCATCGTTTGGCTGGAGTAACTGTCTCCAAGAACTACTGCTCTAGTCAGAAATTTGAGAATTGGAGTTGACCGGATGGACCCTACGAAAAAAAAAAGTTTGTTGTTGTGGTTAGGCTATCACCCCATTGAGTCAAATATAATGGATTAATCAACCCAATATGAGTAATTATAAGTTACTACTAGTGCATAATAATAATAATAATATAGTTTGGGTAGATTTCGATTTGCAGTACAATTAGTTGTTACTAGTGCATAATAAGTTCAAAATATTATTTTCAAGAAAAAAATCAAAGTATTGATTATATGGCACTACAGTGGATAAGTATATTTTGTATTATCTTGCGACTCTTATATTATAAATATAAGGCTAAGACATCAAATAGTGTAAACCATTATTTCCCGAAATTCATTATTTTGTACGTAGTATATGGTATCAGTCGCTTAGGATTCTTTTGCTTTGTTTCTCACTATGGCCGACTCAACCTTAGAATTTTGGAAAATAATAGCTTACCCTATTGAGTGTCTTAGGCTTATATTTATAATAAACAGAATTAGGAAAACTACACATGAGTCCTAAGAATTGCATAATTTGTTTTAAAATATGAGACCAAAAGACATATGCAAGTGATGTTTTACATTTACAAAAATGGTATATATGCAAGTGATTCATTATATTAGAGTAAATGTGTGTCACTAGCCTGGCGGAGACACAAAATGTCTGAGAGAATCAAAACTTAAGTATAAAAACTGCTATTGTTTTCAAACAACACTTAAGTAGAATATTTCATCTATAACTAAAGTAGAAATTAGTTTAATTGAGAATTAGAGAGTTATTGGTTTGATATATGTGTGATATATTGTAAACTTCACGTAACTAATGAGTGAATAAAGCATTATTTTTAAAATTTAGAAATAAAACTAATATTGCTCATCAAATGTCACCCATTTCAAGTTTAGATAGGTGATGATTTTACAAGAGTTAAAATTATTTATTTGTAGTAAATTACGGGAGCTACAATATATCAAATCAAAATTATTTCAGTACTCTGCATGCTGGAACGTTCAGGGGAGGGAGGGTCCGCTGACCGCCCAAACCTTCCCTTCTTCTGTCACTGAGACTAGATATTTATTGTGAATTAGGAGAATAATATTAACTATCCCCATGGTTATCACCAGGGGCGGAACTAGCCTAGTGTCCGGAGGTGCTCGTGCCCCTGCAGTGATTTTCTTTTCTTTTTTATAATATGTATATATATTAATATTTAATTAGTTGAGCCCCTGCAGCTCAATCCCAAAAGCCCTTTACTTTAGCCCTTTCCCTTGTGCCAGCCCAATCCCAAAAACCCTTCCCTGGGGCAGCCCGCAGCCCAACTCCCTAAAAGCCAAAACGCCAAGACCCCAAATCCCAACTCAAGCGGTCAAGCCCCTGCACCTGCGTATCTAAGTTCAACCTACAATATAATGACAGAAACTGAAAACGAGTCAGCGTTCAAGGATTCAAGCTACTGCGTTCAAGCTACATCGCCAACAAATCACATCAACGAGTAGGAACTAGAATAATGATTAGCGACTGCGTCTCTAGACTCTTGGACGACTGGACTCCCGATAAGCCTTTTAATGCCTTAACCTAATTATTTTTCTGATAATTTCGTTTATAAATTTTACTTATTGAATTGTACGTATTTGTTTAATTCAAATAAAATGTTAATTGTTAAAAACTTTTATTTGTTGAATTCAAATACAATGTTGAATTTTTTGGCAATTATGTTTTGATAAGTGATAATCTCATTAAAATGTTAATTATATTGTAAATTTATGATTGTGTATTTATTGATTTAGTTAATATTGTTAATTTTTTATAATGTAACTTATACAATAATACTCATATTATTTCAATTGTAATTGATCCAGGTTGTTTGACAAAATATCACTATGTTACGATATTATACACCGGAACCTAAACAACCAAGCATTGGTGGTTCTTCATAGAATAATTTAGTTTCTTCATCAGATAATGTCATTCCTAACAATGACAATAATGTTAAAAATGCTCGAATAGAAGTTGAATTGTTCGATGATGACATTGTTGGTGATTTGCGCAACAAGATGGGAGAAGAAAACTTAACATATTGCTTGATGTGTTACATTAAGAAAGATGTATTTGTTGAAATTGAGAATGAAGTCATTATGAAGTAATTTCAGAGTATGGCACCTCAAAGACAAAGATTGCCGCCTCTCAATGAATCTTTCATTTGAAACGTCAGGTCCTAATCAAAATTAAGATACTCTTTAAGTAGTTATTTTATTTAAATTTTATAGTTTTGTTTATTCCTATATTCGTGATGCATATGATTTTTTTAGAGTAGTACGTAGTACGAAGTATAGGATTTCTTTGTTATTGTGCCCCTGCGAGTCACGAGTCCTGGTTCCGCCACTGGTTATCACTGAGACTAGATATTTGAAGAAAAATGTAATGCATGTTATACTCTGTGATACATGGTTAATATTTCAATTTATTAGCATTTTTGAATTGTGATTAGTGAGAAGATAATGACAAATCAGTTTTGCTTCAAAATATAAGAGCATCACCAACGGTGCTATTTTGACGTAAAAATTTGGTGCCACATCATCAATTTACAAAGTCTAATCATTTTTTAACCTCCAACCCACCCTTTTACGGTTCCTTTTAATCTGACCTGTATCCAACACTTTCAACCCCTCTTTTGGTTTTCTGAAAGCTTGTTTGACGCTGTGAAAACAATTTACGAACAATTCGGAGGAAAAAAAGCGCTCCATCCTTGAAAAAAGCGCTCCATCTCTGAAAAAAGTGGCGGCAATTTTTTTCCACCCAAACCTAGTCCTATGTAATCTCACTTTTCGCACACAAACTCAACTCGCCGCCTCGCCCACAAACTGAAGTCTTCTTCTATCGGTGTCAACTTCCCCCAGGTATTCTTATCCATGTCTACCGGTGAAAGGTATTTAATTTATGATTTCATAGGTTCTTGATTGCAGAAGTATATAATCCGATGCTTGACTGCTTCCTAAAGTGTCTATATAGATGAGAAACTCTGAATTTTGGGAGGAAAATATCATTCTTCTGCAATTTTGAAACAAGAACACATGTAAATACTTTACTTTTGATTGGGAGAACCACGTTTCTTACTCTGGCCGATTGTTGGTGAATTAGGTTTGGCTGTGAATACCATTATTTTTTGGGATTTAAAAATGATTGAAAT